GGGACAAAGCACATAAAGTGCATCGAACAATGCTATGATTCTGAATGTGAATAATTGAACAGAATGACCAATATATGCGTACACTGGGTTCACTCCACCGAATCCTGTCAAATTTGCATTTATCTCGAATATTACCAGCATTCGCTGTTAAGAGTAGTACAATCCCCGTTCACCTCTCCTATATATACATATTTGTGTAAAGCATAAGCCGTGGTTATGTTAAACCGGTCGCTGGGGACTAAAACTAATCTTTAAACTTGAGTGGTTTTAAAACATCTTGACACGAGACAAATTTATCATTAGTCCGGAATTAAATTGCACCAATTCTTTCACATTCATTTTTGATTTAAAAACTTAAAAAGTTAAAAAGTAGTTAAAAAAGAAAAAAAGGCGTAAAAGGAAATTTTTACGAATAGAAAAAATTTATTCTACTCTTCTACATAGAAGCCTTGATAAATCCTAAAATATCCCATCCGACAAATGTTCGGGGTCAAAGCAACGTAAAACTGACCTTTCGAAAGTCCTTGTCCGCACGTCATTTTTGTAATTAAATTCAAAGAACCACATTATTACGTTTCTTTTCAGCTCTAATAGTTTTTCTCCGAAGAAATGAAATTGAAAACGAATAAATCAAATGTTAATGAAAACTATTTTTATCCGCGTTATGAATTTGCAAGTCTCACAGAAAATATGTAAAACCGTAAATTTGGAACATTTGGACCTACTTATAAATAAAAAAAATTTGATTGAATTCGAATAATTTAAATTCCGAATTATTTCTCTGAATTTCGTTGTCGAGGTTCAACGGAATCAGAATAAAAATGAATGAAAATTCATAGTACTTTCCATCAAAGGCTTTCCAGCAATTTGCAATTTTCCACCACACTTTCAATAATTATACATTTTTTTTTCTCTAAAATTGATCGACGGAGCTTTTAAGGTCGCCAAGTATATACACAGCGAAATAAAAAAAAATCTATTCCTGTATTTCCGATTTCGTAACTCTATTTTATCCTTATAACGCCTGGTGTACAGCAATCATACTTATGGTTGTTAGAAACATCACATCGGTGTGGATTACAACTCCTTTCACGAGAAGACACGTGCGCGACCTTTCGACTTTATCGCCGTCTATATAATAATCCCATGAAACGCTCTGATTCTCCTGCTCACCACTGATGCAATAATATATAATTCGAAAAATTCATCCTCTATCGATAGATTGAAAGGTTGTGTCAAAAAAAAAGAACGAGAACAACACTAACCTAACCCAAATGAACTTTTCCATAATCCTCGACATTGCAGCACACTCAAAATGCGCGCCATTCGCGACACTCTAAACTTTTAACAACTCTGGCAAATAGCCACTTAAAGACTTTTATTTATGCATTCTCCTCATCCATACCACATTTATTTTTAGAAAAAGAACAATATTCAACCACCAACAATAGCAATTTCCAATGATTGTATGCAACTGACATGAATTTAAATTATATAAACCATTGATTCGAATTATTCTATACATCATCAACTCTGGAAATTACCGCACTAATCGAAAGTACCAGCAATAAAAGCAGGGAACAAAAATATCAATAATCAATAATTCACATTGGTATAAAATATATTTTTAGACAAATATTTTAACCCTGAAGTAATTCTAATTTTTACTAAAACTTCAAACAGATGGCAAGTAATCTTGCAGCAAGCTTTACTATCATCTATTATTCCAATTCTTTTAGGATTAAAAAACGGGATTTTTCAAGGTTTTTAAAACAATTGGCAAAATTTTAATTATTTTCAAAAATTTTAATTATTTCTAAAACTTTTCTCAATTTAATGATTTTTAATATCTACTACTTTAATAAAAATTACCAAAAGAATTCAATTAGTTAAAAAATATTTTAATAAAATTCTACTCAAACATTTAATTATTTTCATAAATAATAAAAATTTACCAGGAATTCAATTATTTACAAATTATTTTCATAAATAATAACATTTTTTACAGGGATTCAATTATTTTCATAAATATAATGAAACTCATCGCTGACTTTCAATTATTTTCAATACAATTTTATAACGAAATTCCTCGAAAAATGTAATTATTATTAAAAATGTTATTAAAAATTATCAAAGAAATTCAATTATTTTAAAAACTTTTGCCTATATTTTCAATACATTTTTAATTAAATTTCTTCAAAGAATTAAATTATTTTTAAAAATTTTAATAAAATTCCTTTTAACAATAATTCAATTTTTTTTCAAAATTATTTTAATAAATTTTGTCAAAATTCAATTATTTTCAATTTCCAGTATTTCAAAAAAATTTCACAATATAATTCAATTATTTAAAAATAAATAAAATTTTAATAAAATTCGTCTCAAGAATACAATTATTTTCAAAAGTAATATAATTTTTCGCAGAAATTCAATTATTTTGAAAAATTTACAAAAATTCTCCTCAAAATTTCAATTATTATAAATAATAAAACAAAATTTTTGGAAGAATTTCAATTACAAAAATTTTCGTCAAAATTTCAATTATCATTATAAACAATAAAATTTTTCTCAGAAATTTAATTATTTTCCAAAATTTTAATAAAATTCTTGGCAGAATTTCAATTATTTACCTAAATAATAAAATTCTTCAGAGAATTTCAATTATTTTTAAAAAATGTAATAAAAATTCGTTGCAAGAATTCAATTATTTTCATAAATAATAAAATTCTTCACAGAATTTCAATTATTGAAAAGAAATGTAATGAAAATCCGTTTCAAGAATTCAATTATTTTCCTAAATAATAAAATTTTTCATATAGGATTTCAATTTTTTTTATTACAATTTTAGGTAAAATTTTTCGAAAATGGTATTATTTTTAAAAATTTTATTAAAATTTTTTGAAAGAAATCAATTATCAATTATTTTTAATAATTTTTCCAAAAGTTCTTTGAGAATTTTCAAATCAATTTGTTTACAATTCAATTTTACGAAATTTCAATTATTCGGAAATTAGAAAAATTCTTCAATTACATATTTAGAAAAAAAAACTTGAAATAATTTTTAAAAAAAATTAAATTAAACTTTTTTAAAAAAATCAATTCTACATAATTGTCAGTTAAAAGTATAAAAAATTTAAATTTTCAATGATTTCAATTTGAAACCATTTTTCAAAATTCAATTATTATCTAAAATTTTAACTGAACTTCATTTTCAAATCAATTTTTTTTTAAATTTTAATTTCAATTATTTAAATACAAAAAATAAATAATTTATTAAGTAATTGAATGTTTCTCAAAATTGAATTCTCAAAAAGAACTTTATTAATAAATTTTTAAATAATTGAATTCTCGTATAATTTTCTAATAAATATTGATTTAAAAATTAATTTCAATTAAAATTTTAGATAATAATTTATAATAATTGAATACTGAAAGCATTATAGCTTAGATTTTTAGAAATAATTGAATTTTCAAAAGGTTTCAAATTAAAATCTTTGAAAATCTAAACTTTTCATACTTTTAATTTAAGAATTCTGTAAAATTAATTTTTTTTTAAAAATTTAAATCAATTTCTTAAAATTAAATTGTAAACAGAAGAATTCGAATATTCACAAAGAACTTTTTCAAAAATTATTTTAAAAAATTGACTTAAAGAAGAATTTTAGTTGAGAAGTCTAGAAATGAATAATCGAAATAATGAAAATAATTTTTGAAGAAGTTACAGTATAGTAACAGGTTTAATTTATTATAAAACATAAAGATATCGATCATTCCGAGTCGAGGACTCGGAATAATCGACATCTTCATGTTTTATAACAATAAATCTTACATGTCATTGAATTTAAAATTTTTGAAAATCTTAATTTCTATGAAAAAATATTTTTATTTTAATGATTTTAAAAAAAATCAAATTAAACAACTCATTTTTACAAACTAAGATTTAAAGAATGTTTTCATTACTAACTAACAGTTATATTAATTAAAATAAATCCAAACTTACTCAACTAGTTAATTTCGAAAAAATTAAATTTTTATACTTTTTAAATCCACTGCTCTGATTATATAAAATTTTACTGCAGTTGGATGCTCCAGAAAGAGCCATATAGGTTACGGTGCTAGAGCCCGAGAGACTAAAAAGACATGCATATGCCAAACAGTATTCTCTCCACTTTAAAGAAATTGAATTGGTACTTAATAAAATAAATTATAAAAAGTGGCTATTAAAAATTCCATTCCGAGTGAAAAACCTCCCCATTCCGAGTGAAATATTATAAAACACAAAGTGCTAGAATAAAATATTCCCTTTTTACGGAAGAGAAACACTATATTTGAAAATCAATAAAACGAATGAAGTGTCGCGGTCCTAACCTTAACGACACTGGGGGAGGGGAAATTAGAGTCAATCAGTGATTTAATCAACAAAATTTTGTCGATTTAATCACGAATATAATTATATCGTAATTGAATTTACTTGCAGTAATAGAGAGATCTTCACTAATGAGTATACCGTGAGGCTGCAAGTTAATGCATTTATCTTATGAGGTTCTTGATCGCACCACCTTCCTCTTCTTTTTTTTGCAATAAAAACATTTCGAGTCTTAGCTTCTAACTTATTATTATAATATTAGCACCCAACGACTATCATTAAAAAAATCTATAATTTTATTTACTCCCGGCATTTTCCGTTATAACACTCAAATCAAGTTTATCTTCTTCGATTTTTTTTTTCTTACTCTTTTTCCCGGACGTTTTATTGATAATAAAAGACCGCAAGTGCTATTCGGCACAATCCTACTTTTATTATTATTGGCATAAAGATATGAAGCCAAGTAATAAAAATTTATGTATGCTTATGGACCTGTCTAAATTTATACTTTTAAATCTCGAAAGATACTTTTAGAAATTAGATAATTTTTAATTTTTATACAAGTGGCGACAAAATAAACACTACAAAATCGGAAAAATACGTTTGATAAATTTAAATGGAAAAAAAGACTTACATAATTTTCCAATATGAATGGTATCGAAATCCTGTATATCATCCTCTGTATAGGCAAACTTCGCACAGGAATATCAGAGTACAGATTCGGTTCACTCACGTAACACTCAAAGTCTCGCCTTGTTTGACCTAGAATAGCAAAATAGATGAAGCTTCAATTACAAAGACAGTTTTTTACAATTTTCAAAAAACTATACAAATAAATATTGTCAAAACTTTGTTATACTGTATTTTTGATAATAAATCCGTTCAAGCTGATCCACTAAAAAACTGTTAGTTATCAAAATTCAATTTTTAAAATTTCAAAAAGTAGAAAACTCATTTTACCGGGGGGAGGTTCTTCCATCAGTTGTTATTACCTATTAGCACAATGTTACAATTACTGAGTGTAGAGGCAACAATAAAAATTTACAGGCATGTGGAATGCCACCCTCGAGTTATGGAAGGTCATACAGGGGTTAATAGCGATACGAGCAATTTACTCCTGACTTAAGACGCAACACTACAAAACAAAACCCATGCCAGAGAAAACATTATGACGCTGACATTAACTTGGATTCAATGTATATTTTTATATACACTACAATTTCTTCAAATCAACTTTCAAAATGATCCCCCAATACACTTTTCTTCTAAAAATAATCTTCAATCTCAAATACAAAACTTGTTCATGAAATTTACACAAAAAATATTCTTTTTGAAAACAACTTTCAATCTAATTTGTAAAAGTAGACTAATTTCAAGAAGAAAATACTCTGGAAAGGTATTTTAAAAATACAAACCTCATACTTGATCTTGAATAATTTATGCTATTTGAAACTCGATTTACTTTACTCTTGTTTACTTTTACTATTATTTAGTTTAATAATTTTTACAACATACTTCTGTGACTTTTTTCTCCCGCTTTTCTATCTTTCTCTTTTTTGTCGCTATTTAAATTTAAATCGCCCTTCAATACTGACAAAGGCCAAAGAAATTGAAGTTAGTAATTGGAAAATGACGACAACCGTCCTATACCTGCCTTTGACACTTTGTTCATCGGACAAGCTAAAGAGGTTCTTTTATAAACTCTTAATTGTTTCAATCGGTGTATAGACATCATAATTTTCTCCGCGCGCAATATCAATTTTAGTCTCGTGAACGCGAACGATTTCTTATTTAATTAAACAAAGAATTTTACAAGTGGAAGTTATTGTGATACACTCAATTTCAATTCCTTTGTTTCTTTAATATTTTTTTAATTGAAAAAACTTAACTTCTTACTTCTTTTGTATTAAAGTTTCTAATAAAGAGATTCTTAACAAAGCTTTTTGGGGGCTTTAAAGAAAATTTTTATTTTAATAAAATAAATTTCTATTCGACTGTTAGAAAAATGCACAATTTTGCTCTGGAATGAACGAAATTCATTTCTTTAAATATAAATACTAGAATAGTTTTGCGTTAAGAAGTAAAAATGTATGTTTCTAAATTCTGTTTTCTTATTGAAATGCTATATAGAAATCTAGACAATGGGCGCCTACTTTTAAATTCCTTTTCTTTTTGAATGATACGTGAGTTCAGATTATAAACCATCTGAGATAGTTTATAAAAATCTAGATTTTGGGCGCCAGATACTTTTAAATTTCCTTTTCTTTTCGAATGATACGTGAGTTCAGATTATAAACCATCTGAGATAGTTTATAAAAATCTAGATTTTGGGCGCCAGATACTTTTAAATTTCCTTTTCTTTTCGAATGATACGTGAGTTCAAATTATAAACCATCTGAGATAGTTTATAAAAATCTAGATTTTGGGCGCCAGATACTTTTAAATTTCCTTTTCTTTTCGAATGATAAGTTTGGATTGTGAACATCCTCTGGAATAGTAGTAGTTTCCTACGAAATAATTTATAAAAATTTTAATAGATTGAAAACAGATAATTAAATAAAATTATGTCTAAAATTCTGACTGATTCACACAAAGAGACAGTTATGGAAAATAAAGTTCAAAAATAATTTTTGATCCCAAAACAAAGTGTCAGTTGATGGATGTAAAGTACGGTCTGTTTGGAAATTCTATGGACATTGTCGCGAACGAAAATGTTGTGTGTAAAAGCCAAAGCATTCTTGTGCTAGTTTATGTAAATATTTGACGTCTGTTTTTTAGTTCAACCATACCATATAGAATTTGATGTCTTGACAGTTGCATTTTAACATGAACTGAAGCTGTCGCACATCAAGAACAGTGAATGCGTCTGCATTACAGTGATTAATGAACTATTGCCAGGAGCATCTCTGACTTTCCAAGAACGTTGTTTCTCCCCCTCAAGAAACTTTACTGCTTCTTGCCGAAAACCCCCTTCTTCAACAAAGACAAAAAGCAGGAATTTATTTCTCTACGCGACTCAACGAAAATACTCTTCTTGATTTTCAATTTAAATTATTTAAATTATTATACAATTTAAATTATTTTACAATGCCGAATCAAAGTTTCAATTTTTATGACATAAAAATGCCAGTGGTTGTAGCGTGTGCTTGTTTTTGAGGGGGGAAAAAATTTCGAACGTAGAGAATTTAAAAAAAAACGTGAACTGTACATGAAATTGATATTCAAAATGAAATTAAATATCATATAAAATAAATTATAAAAACGAAAATTCAATCCTTTGTGTATACTTTTATATCCTTTGTATCGCTTTTATACTTTTTGGAAAATTTATCAGTGGTAGTAACTAAATGAATCACAATTAGACTGACCCTTTTACGACTCGCCATCGCGTCGAGAGTGGAACGTCGAAAAACTAACGAACTGAAAAAATGATTCAATCTGCGGAAAATCGGACTTAAAAAATTAAACTTGAATCCCCTCTTCAATTTATTTTCTAAATTAATAGAACAAAGTTAATTTCACTGTTAAATGAATTTACTATTTAATAATTTGTTATAGGGAAAAGCACTTAGTTATTTTTCATTTTACGACAATATCGAAGTATTCCAAAGATAAAATGAATTTCCAGCAAGTGGAATAGGGAAATGGAGGAAGGGGAAGAAAAGAGGAAGAAGATGATGAAAACGAATAAGACCTAATTTAAACGAGAAATTTGAGATACTATTGTTAGAGAAACCGCTTTCATTTAAGGACGACTGGCTCATATTCTCCTATCATTTCGCCTAGTTATTTCCTATACTATATCGCGAAGAAACTTGCTTGCCTCACCGATCTCTGATGAATCTCCTTTACAGTCACGAACTTCACAGTTTGACCTCCTTGGTCTATCTATTCGTCTCTCTCTCTCTTTCTCTCTCTTCTACTGTCAATCGATCCGATCTTCCCTTCCAAACGACTGACGATGACTAGGAAGAAAGTCCCTCTCTGTGATCTCTTACCTAACGCTTCAACCTTACTCTCTAAGTCACTCTTAATTGGTTTATTACTTTAAAACCCGAGGAATAAAATAAATAGCACAATAAAAATCAAGGGGGAGAAAAAAAATTATTTCCACAAACTATTAGGGCATGTTGAAGACTTGCGCGATTTCATATAATTACTAACAAATTGCTTTAATTGGTCGCGACAACGACCTTAATTCGCAAGAGGAAAAAACCAAGTAGAAATGCGCCTGTTTTTACGATAATTACTATTCGTCTGTGTATTTTCTATATACGTGTAATAGCACTTTCACATTTCCCTATAGCTTTGCAATTAGGATTTGCTATGAATTTTCTATAAATTAAAAATTGACATTTTGATTATTGTTTCTCTTTTCTCTAAATTTACTCCTTTCCGATAAATAAGTTCAATAACCGAATAACAGAATTAAAGATAAAATTAATATTATCTTTATACTATGACATAATTCACAGGCACGAGTGATAATTATTATACTAGTAAATCATGCTTGAAACTGATAACTGTCTCGATATTAACTAAACGCTAATTACTAATATAATTAATGATTATTATCGATCGAACTGCAATTACGATTCGTAGTTTCTATTGTCTCTATTTTCTTATTTTCTCTTATCGAAATCTAATTCTTTTTTCATACATACAATTTATGTGAATCTAAAACTAAAGAAATTAGTTCAAAATAGTTCATTATTTTCTACTTTTATTGTTAACTAATTGCTGAAGCAAAAACTTCAAAGTTTTTAAAACCCCAAAAGTTTTCTTTAACGCTAAGTTATTAATAGAAAAGTAAATCTATTTGAATAAAATAAATTTCTTTTCTCTGAGAGTTATAAAAAAATGGAAACTATTTGAGGAATTCTGGAATTAAGTTTTAATTTATAAATATCGTTTGCGGGAACAAATTGCAAAAGAACCGTTTTCACATCAAAGTAATTAAGAAACATAGAAATAAGTGTAGCAATAATTTGTCTTTCATGATCAACGCTAGTTATAAACATTTTTTTTTTAAAAAGAATCTCTATTTATACAAATCCAAACGGTGCTGCCATGTAAAGTGTTATTATTTCCGCGAATATTAATCACCAACTTTATGACTTCAGGCAAGTGAAATTAGTGATGTAGGTTGTGATTATTCTACCAATCTGATTCATCTCAATCGTACAGAATGACGTAACTTAATTTTCTTAAAATCATTAAAATAAATTCTTCGTATTTTTATTTATTATTGTAGGGGTATCAAATTACTTTTTTTTACATAGAAAAAAAAAGTGTTTCAGAAATTTAATTAATTGAAAAAAAGAATGAAATCTACTCATATATACAATTATTGAATTTTCTATACAAGAATAATATGAATAATATGAAAGTTTTCTATTCAGTCTGGGAATAATTCAAGAGTATTTCGCACGTGCGAATCAAATGGAAGTAATAATAATTGTCTACGACTGCATGGAGGTGGAGAAGGAGAAATTACGAGAATCATTACGCGAACGCGAGAATATAATGATAAACCAGTTGCACTAATAAGGGAGATGCTTTGGAGATAACACACTGGGACATTATCTACTCGTAATCCTTTAGTCCCGTAAGATTTCACGATGATCCCTCTATATTTAAAAATCTCTCATTATAAAAGCTTCTGAGATAAAAGGAATTCTAAAAATCTCCGTTTCAAGTTTTTAACGGATTCGTTAAGCGCGTCCACGGCACAGACGAAGAATAGAATGCAATATGCACAAAAAATTCCTCTTTTATGTTTTTTTCATTTTTAAATTTTTGTCAAGAACGCGAAATTGATAACAATATTAAAGTACCAAATCTTAGAAATGAATTTTCGGAAATCAAATATTTTTAATTTTTTACACCCTGACTTTTCTGATCCGTGCAAATATTATTAGTAATAGAAAACTAATGGAATATAAATAAATAATATAAAATACATTTTTGTTCATAAATTTGCTTTTCTCTACTTTGGAAAATTTTCAAAAGGAAATTTGAACGGCTAGTTTCTTATCCTAGTGGACTGCTTAGGAAAAATGTACCATTTTCCCCTTTGCACTACAAACACAATTACCTCCCCAAGGAAATGCGGCCATACTAACCCGGCGTTCATCTTTCTTTTTCCAGGATGCATCCAGGGAACGAATCTCACAGGTTGGCCGCAACAAGGAGATGAAAGGCCTGAATGGAGGCCGAGGAAGTTGCAGAGCCCCCCGGGGCTCCGATCGACATATCTTTGCTAACGGTTCGTAAAATCGTTGCTTCGAAAAGAAGCAATATTTAACAGCATTATCGTTATCGCCTAACACTTCACAACGATTGACAACTGTCAATAGAATAGAAAAAAGATTCTACTTATAAAAAGTAAGACTATTTTTACTTTAAAAACAAAGTAAGAGGAGAAAAAATGGCGGCACCTGTGATAGAGAAGAAGCGATTCTTCTGCAGAGAGTGGGCCTTCACGAAACTCTCGCACTGTTTGGAGCAGAGGCCCGCTTCGAAAACATGTGGAGCCCTGATTGTCGGTGGTCCAGGAAGTGGGAAAACTGCCCTCTGCGCCGAATTAGCTTGGCCCTCTCAAGGAGCAAGTGGACGGCATCAGAGGTCCCTGAATAGAAGACTACTAGCCAGGCATTTCTGTCAAGCGAGAAGTGCCGTCTCCCTCTCGCCAGCTCAGTTCGTCAGATCGATGGTGGCACAGCTTCTGCAAGCCAGCACCGAGGGAATTCACTTGTCCTCACCCAATTCACCGACTCACAGCACCACAACAACATCTTCAACTCCCCTATCCTGGAGAGAGTCCGTAGTTGAGGCGTACGCCGAGAAATTAAGAACAGATCCCGAAATACAAGCGGCATTGCAACCAGATGTCGTCGACAGAGACCCTGACGACGCTCTAAAGAAGGCACTCCTCTTTCCCCTCCTCGAGGTCGAACCACCGAAAAATTGCCTCTTCCTCCTCGTCGACTCAATAGACGAAGGTCAAGTTCTAAGTCCACCCCAGTCAGGAACGCGGGACTCGAGGAGGGAGAATGATGGCGTCAGCAAAACGATCGCCGAACTCCTGGCGAATCACCATCATTTATTTCCACAGTGGCTTCTTCTTGTTTGCACTGCCCGGAGGCAGAGCAAAACTATTTCGAGAATGTTCACTGGATTTAGAAAGATATCCCTCGACGACTTGAGAAAGTCCCAGGTGGTTCGTGATGTGCAGCAGTACATTCTGGCGAGACTCGATCAGGAAGACACACTCAGACAGCATATATCGAGAGACACGGCCGAGATGCTGAATCAATTACACATTAAGAGTAATGGCTGTTTTCTATATTTGGAGAAGGTCCTTGACGGCGTGTCCGAGAATTTCATTGTATTGCGGGAAGTCAGAGAGATTCCGGGTACCTTAAACGGACTCTATTTGTGGTTATGTCAAAGACTGTTTAGTAGGAAGCAATTTGCCAAAGTGCAACCTTTGCTTAATGTCATACTGGCCGCCAAGTTGCCAATCACTCAGGAAACACTCTTCGAGTGTGTTAAAACCGCTAACATCAGTATTACTCAGGAGGACTTTAATCGAAGGTTGCACCTACTCAGAAGGGTGAGTCATATTATTCAATATAATTCAATATACGGTTACAGCTATTTAAAGTAGAATTAATATCCGAAGAAAAGAATTATTAAAAAGTAGATCATAAAGTTAATTTAAAAATTCGAAATAAAAGAAGCATCTTAAGAAAAAGATTGCAGAAAGAAAATATACCTAGTGGAGGAAGGCACTATAAATAATTCGACGTCATTCTTCTTTCAGGTCATATCAGTTTCAAGAGCTGGAGCACTGATGCTGTTCCATCATAGTTTCGCCGAGTGGCTTCTTGACGTGAAACATTGCACGCAAAAGTATCTCTGCTCAGCAACAGAAGGTCATGCCATGCTCGCAGTTTATTACACTTTACGAGCACGTCAGTTAAGTGCTGATGAAATTTGTGTTCTGGGACAACATCTTCAACGTGCAATGTCCTCAGTTGGAAATGCCAACTGCTCCCTGGATATTCACACCCTACAAGTTCTTTGGATGATTGGAAGCGGTGCACCAATTCAAGAATGCTACCTCGACAGCTCCGATTGTATACTTTGGCCCCGGCAAGACACCAAACTACTTAGACTTTTAATTGATTCAGGAGCGAAACCCTCCGAGAAAGCTGTTGAGGACGAAGCCAGTAAAGAAGTCGTTGATTCTAGTCAGGTATTAATATTAATTATTAATACTTCGTTATTAAACTTCAGCCTACTTGTCCCCCCTCCCACCAGGATTTTTGTCGATAACGGTAAAATGAGTAGAGTGAGTGTTCTGTTATAATTGTTCCTAATCGAACATCAATTAGGACACTTCTAGATGCACGTCAATCAAGAGAAAACAAATTTAGATAAACATTAACAGTATATTCAAATTTTAGATGAAAATTCAAATTTCAAAAGAAACGTCAATTATAAAAGTATTAAAATTTCAGAAGAAACAGAAATAGATGAATCGAATTAATTTTGAGTTGCGGGAAAAATCTTGTGTACTGTTTCGAGACAAAGTCATTCATAAAGTTATCATTGAGATTTCGAGCTATTTCTCCGAGTATTAACCATATTTGCGTAAGCTTTCACTTTACAAACTTGTGATGGTCTGAATTAATCATCGCGAATTGCCTGACACATTATTCTTCCCCACAATGATAAGATAATGTATTAAAGTTAGTTTAGCCAAACAATGTACAGTCTGTTGATTGTAAATTGTGGAAGTCTATCTATCAAATTCGCAGAAACAAAGAATCAATCGAAAATGTATTGCCTCTGAAAGCTCAGTAGACACAGTGTCTCTTTTGAGAGATGGTTATAAAAATTTCTGCCACGTCTCTCTAAATAAATCGATATTCGTATTTTTAAGTTCGTGTAATTTCTAATTCTAAATTCAGACTCCTACTTCAAATTCAATCCTATTTCTAATTCATACTACTAATTCTTATTCATTTCTACTTGCAATTTATTCCTACTAATTCGTACGCTAAATTCTAGATTCATATTCCTAACTCAAAATTAGTATTTCTTTTTTAAATTCAGATTTACAAATTCAGATTTCTAAATTTAGATTCTAAACAAGAAACTATTCGTATTCGTTCCATTATGGAAAGATGTGTGAATTAGAATTTCGTTTCATGAGATACGAAGTAGAAATAAGATAAGAATCGTTTTTTCTCTCGTTTCGGAAAAAGGTCTCACAAGATGTGAGCCCCATGGACGAGTCTCCTGGCGAACCCTTGACGGAACTACTCGGAGAAAGTGGAGACATCAATCAAGCAGATTCGTGTGGACGAACTGTTTTACATACCCTCGCCGCTGATGGAAATGCATCGCTGATGGAATTGGCCCTGGCTGCATGTCCTCAGGTAAAGAATGATACTTTTTCCTATCTGAATTTCGATTAAAGCTTCGAAAAAAGAAAGAAGAAATTTTCTTCTCTCAATACCTATTCGTTAATTAAAGACCAATTTTCAGAACGATTGAAATCAGTTTAAATCACAAAATTAATGTTAATCAAGGAATTTAAGTCACAAAATTAATGCTAATCATGGAATTTAAGTCATGAAACTAATGAAAATCATAGAATTTAAATCATACTATCAAAGTAAACCGCAAAATTAATTTAAGCCACAAATTCAGTTTAGATCCCAAAATTATTTGTACTGATTGTGAAATAGTGTATGAATAGGATTAATTTGAAAAATTGCGTGCAAGTTTAACTGGAGCAATTGATTTGATATTGAAATAGGCCAAGTTGGAAGCTACCGATCGACATGGACAAACACCTTTAAATCTAGCCGCGAGACATGGTTATTCGGATGTTGTAAGGGTTCTTTTAGCAGCTGGAGCTTCTGCTGATCATGCAGATTGTGATGGATGGACGGCATTGAGGGCTGCCGCCTGGGGTGGACACACACAGGTACTTCTTTTATTCTTGAATTACGAAAGAAAATTTTTCGCAAGACGAAGAAAAATAGAAAGGAAAGAAACGTATAAATAGAACATTCTTGAATCTAAAACTAAATCACAAAGACAATAAAAGAATCAAAAGTGTTGCCTCGCAACACTTTTAATTCTTTTTTTGTCTCAAGTAATTTAGAAAAAGAGATTTATAATTCTGCTGAAATAATAAATAAATTAGCTTACTTGGCAAGAACGAGATAATAAAATATTTTCAACATTAGGTTGTTGAGCAGCTTTTGGAGCATGGGGCAAAAGTTGACTGTGCAGATTGGGATCAACGTACGGCTTTAAGAGCAGCAGCTTGGGGAGGTCATGAAGATATTGTCAAAGCACTCTTACAGCATGGAGCTGACGTTAACAGAACCGACGACGAAGGAAGAACGGCTTTGATCGCAGCAGCTTATATGGGACATAGCGAGATCGTCGAACACCTTCTTGACTTTGGAGCAAAAATCGATCACGCCGACAGCGATGGAAGAACGGCACTCAGCGTCGCGGCTCTATGCGTTCCCTCTAATCATGGATACGCCAAAGTAAGCCGCTTTCCTTCAAATTCAGACGCTTATCAAAAACTTTATTATTCCCCACACCCATACATTTGTCATTCAGAGTCACTACTTAAAATTCAGGATTCACAATTCTCGCGGATTTTTCGAAACTGTTTTCAAACCAAAGAATAGAATTCAAAGTGAAATGTTAAAATTCTATAAATGAGTAACTTCTAATTTCTAACAATAAGTGATGAGTTGCATTAAGTAAATCAGAATATAAATTGGAAGTATTTTTGCGAAATAAAGAAAGAAGGGAATACCCTCTAGGGAAGTGGAGTAATATTTAGTGTCTCTAAAACTGACAAATGGACGCGCTCTGATACAAAGCCATCATTAAGAAGAGTGTGCTCGCTTAAAATTCTAGAGACCGAAATTCTCTGAACGATATCACAAGAGCGTGGAGTGGAATTTTAACTATTTTTTGAATTCTAGGTGGTTACGATCCTGTTGGAACGAGGGGCGGCCGTCGACCATCAGGACAAGGATGGAATGACTCCGTTATTGGTGGCAGCTTTCGAGGGTCACAGAGACGTTTGCGAATTGCTGTTGGAGTACGAGGCAGATGTGGATCATTGCGACGCTACAGGACGAACTCCATTGTGGGCCGCAGCGAGTATGGGACATGGATCCGTTGTTGCGCTTCTATTGTTCTGGGGCTGCTACGTCGACAGCATAGATAACGAGGGCAGAACTGTTCTCAGCGTGGCGGCCGCGCAAGGTGGCACCGATGTCGTCAAACAGCTTCTTGACAGAGGTATTACATTTTCCCTCCCCTATTATCTCCATACTGTACCCACGTTACACTTAAATGCCACTTTTCCCGAAACTAGGTCATTCTCTTATCAAGATTCTCTTGTAAAACCACAATTGTACGAGAATTGTCACAATTTCTCGCAAAACTCGAAACAAATTCACCGAGATTGCAACTTTGCCAAGAGATAGAAATTTGACTATTCTTTTTCTATTTTTCGGCTTTTTCTTGTGAATTTTGAACTTTGAAGAAGTGGAGAGAATTTAAAGTAGTGTAGATTTGTCATTATCTAAGTTTTGATAATTTTAGGTTTGGACGAGCAGCACAGGGATAATTCTGGTTGGACGCCGCTGCATTACGCTGCATTTGAAGGTCACGTAGACGTTTGCGACGCTCTGCTGGAGGCGGGGGCTAAGGTAGATGAAGCGGACAACGATGGAAAGGGTGCACTCATGCTTGCTGCGCAAGAAGGACACACGGCTTTAGTGGAAAGACTGTTGGAACAGCACGGAGCGCCCATCGATCAGCACGCGCACGACGGAAAGACCGCGTTGAGGTAAAATCGCAGTAAACTCGAAATATCGAAATAAAACATTTCCTTTATAAAGTTTAACGTCTGTAATTTTTTCTCTTAACAGACTAGCAGCTTTAGAGGGGCATTACGACACAGTCAAGGTTCTGCTATCACATAATGCCGACATTAATGCTAAAGATGCCGATGGAAGGAGTACGCTATATATTCTCGCGTTAGAAAACAGATTGGCGATGGCTAGGTTCTTACTCGAGCATGCACGGGCCGATGTGGAAAGTAGGGATTCAGAGGTAGAATTTACGTCACATTTTTTACAAGAGAAAATGGAGAATTTGAAATTTACTAAATTTTAGAAACTAATGGAAATTAGAATTTCTTTATAGTTTAAAGAATGGTCTATTAAAGAGATTGACTATTACAGGGAAGAACTCCACTTCATGTGAGCGCTTGGCAAGGCCACGTGGAAATGGTGGCTCTTCTATTGACCGAAGGCTCTGCTGGTGTTAACGCTTGTGACAATGAAAATAGGACACCTCTTCATTCAGCCGCTTGGCAAGGACATGCAGCAATCGTCAGATTACTTTTGGAAAGTAGTGCAACTCCAGATCATACTTGCAATCAAGGCGCGACTGCTTTAGGTATTATCCAACTCAGCTTCTTTTTAATTATCAAACAGTATTGTGATATTCACAATTAATATTGCAATATTAGCGTCCTTTTGAAGTTTATCTATTTATGAGCGTCGCATATTAAGAAATAATAATCCAAAAATATTAATATAATAAAAAAAATTGTAAACAGGAATAGCAGCACAGGAGGGACACGAGCATTGCGTGAGAGCTTTATTAAATCACGGAGCCGATCCAAATCATTCCGATCACTGTGGCAGGAATGCAATAAAAGTTGCTGCCAAAAGTGGACACGACACGGTTGTCAGATTACTTGAGGAACATTCGGCGAATCAACGAATTTTAAGGCCTGGTATTAATGGAGGTATATACAATATTTTCCTTTTTAAATTTGAAAAATGTATCATCTTGTCGGAGATTTCAATATCGCATTTATTTAATCCAGGTGGAAGTAGTAGTGCAACGTCTGTTACATCGAATTCAACAGCCGAGACAAAACCCTCTTCAGCCATTTTAAATCCCCTCTCGACACAATACAGTCCCGCAGAATCTCCCGATTCGACAAAAAGAAGAAGTTGCGTTTCCTTGGGCAATAATTCTAGCAACAGTAAATCCAGCAGTAACTTGACTGGAAGCACGAAGAGCGACCAGGGAAAATTCGGACCAAATCCCACGGTTAACCAAGTGATAAAGGTCCGTCTCTTTTTCTACCCGAAGAAAAATTGTTAAAAGTCTGAATTTTAGTCTCAATTTTTTAAACAATTAGACTAAAATTCAGAAAGTCGAGACTTTGAATTTATTTGTGATTTTAATTTCAGGCGCCACTTTCATTCACGCAACAATTACAACAATGTTCCCGAGGAGCAAAAAGTCGTCCCTTGAGTAAATTGCTCTCGCCCTTGAAGAGCGAGCCACAAAGTCCAATCTATGCATCACCTCCTCATTCGCCAGTGAGCGATAGCCTTATTCCGTATTCGCCGACGAATACAAGTCCACCGAGTGCGCAGACGGCCGCGAGTGTCATACAAAGTCAACTGGGAGTCTCTCTCTTAACTGGGAACCAAAGTATTCAATATAAAATACAAGGCGGAGGTTATAATCACACTTCGGCGATTTATGAGCCAATAAATATCAAAACGGAAATCATTGAGCGAAATGATGGGACGAAACCGTTTGAACTGACAAACGAAATGCTGGGTCTTGGAATTGGAAAGGAGAAGAAGAACGGACACGATGACAAAAGAAATTCAGCGGACACTCATTTCACACGTGACACACATATGAGAATTATTTTAGGAAATAGTGGAGCGGGCGTTGGTCGAAATGTCAAACACACTCCGGAACACATTACTGGAAGGTAAACTCGGAGCCAAATTATTTGACAAATGTGACATTTTTGGGTTATAAAGGGAAAATCGGAGAAAATCGTACTCGAGACAAGAAATTGTAGGTCATGTTTGGGAAATTTTTTTGACAATAAGAAAACTGTCAGAAACAATTTTTAGTTACTATTTCATATACTAAACAATTAATAAAAACAAATGAAGATTATCAACATTTTTTTCAGTAACTGAATTCTTTTGAGAAAATGTATTTAAAATTATTGTATTCAAAATAATTTAATTTTTGGCAAGATTTTTATTAAAATTCTTTAAAATTTTGAAAATAATAGAAATTTACAAAGAATTTTATAAAAAAACTTTTAAGAACAATAATTGAATTCCTCCAAAACATTTTATTATTTATGAAAATATTTTAATTCTTACGAAGAATATTCTTATTTATGAAAATAATTAAATTCTTGCAAAAGATTTTACAATTCATAAAAATAATTGAATTGTTTCGAAGGATTTTATTTGAATTTTTGAAAATAGTTGAATTTTTTGAAGGAATTTTACTGAATATTTTGAAAATAATAATTTTTTTTTAATTTCTATCAAAATTGTTGAAAATAATTGAATTTATATTAAAATTCTTGAAAATTAAATAATCGAATTTAATTAATATTTTTAAAAATAATTGTATTCTTTAGAGAAATTTTATTAAAATTGTATTGGAAATAATTGAATTGCCTTAAATAATATTATTATTTATGGGATTGCTAGTTCTTAATGATTTTAAATAATAATAAATAATTTAAAAAATAATATCCATTTTAGTGCTAGTAACGCGAAACCAAAGCGAAACGGGTTAGTTTCGAATCCCGCCATGAGATTAGTAGCGGGAGTCAGAAATGGAATTGAAAACGCAACAAATCGAAACAAACCGATAACAACACGTGTCAATGGATTCCAGTGGAAGGCTGAGGCAAGAAAAGAAACTCCTCTATAGGATCAGGTAATTATTGACAATTGAAAAAATCTGTCAAATAATCACTATTTTCCGTTTTAATTTCAAGAATAAAATATTTTCAATATAAATTTTCCTATTTCCTATATATTTTCTCAATTCCTTTCTCGTAGAGGAAGAGTATATATTAATCATAAAATGAAATAAATTTCAGCAGATAGTCAACTGCGGAAGAATTGCAAATCGACATCGCGGTTGGCGTGAATTTCTCGATAAGAAGCGAAAGTCAATAAATAAGTTTTTCTCCTTTTATTTGAGCGAAATCAAATTAACTGGAATAAAGAAGCGAAGAAAATAATATTCCACAAAATTGATTAATAAAAAAAAAATGAAAACAAGAATCTGCGATAAAAAGCATGAAACATTTATGTTATAACAAAATAATACCAAATATTATGACGCATAGAAGTGTATATGTAGAATTTTAGATAAGTAACCCTAAAATATAATAATGTTAATTTACTGATCTCACTAATAATATACGTCATCTATGTTTGATGAATATTATTAAAGTCTCAGAAATCGGTAGAGTTCTAATGACAAAACTACTAGATAAGAATTGAGATCTTTTTAAGACTGGTTGCAAAGTTTAGAATGCACGCGAAATGGTATTTCGAACAAAAAAATGAAAAATTTTAGAAACAGACGACAAAAAAATGTATAGAGTGTAAAAATTTAATAAAAAAAAATAAATAAATGAAAAATGTTTGAATTTTAGAATTTCGAAGACGATAAAAAAATACGTAAAAATTATGGCCTGCAGAATGCCTGTGTACATACACCACTTTATGTATTGCACACGATCATATTTATTATTATAATGTATTAGAGATGATAAATAAAAATTCAAGTAAAAATTTTCTAAATCTTTTTACCTTATTTTAGTTTTTAATTAATTAAATTTATTTTATAGTTAAATTATTCGATCTAGTTGGAAGATATTTACGATTTGATCTGTTGCCGTGAAGTCAAATCCAAAATTTATTCAATTATTCACTTACTCACAAAAATTAAATTAATTATTAAATTAAAATTAAACTTGTTTTACTGTTCCTGATCTTTTAAAACCGGCACAACAAAAATATTCAGAGTCGAATAAACATGAAATTTTTTTAATGAATAAACAAGGAAGATTTATTTGAATATCAATTCAATTTGTCCCTTACGACGATAAAGTCTCTTAACTTTTGAAGTAAATTCAATTTTATAAGACACACATTATTTTATTGATGGAAAAATAAGGATAAATATGAATAATGAAAAACTAACCTCAAAATATTCGTTAAACTCCCGCCCGCAAAGTCCGGTAACGAAAAGTCGCAAACACTCATTTTTATCGAGTAATGCTTCCAAATAGTCATATTCCTTTTCAATGGAATACGAAACACAATAATAATATTGATAACAATTGCTGTTATACAAGATTTAAAGAGAAATTAAACAAATAAATATCGCAATCCGCACAGTATTCACCACAAAAAACACAAGTTTTCGCCCGAACAAAAATGATTTATTTTAACACTAATTTTTCCACTTTTATCACTTTTCACATTCACTATTATACGAGGCAGTAATAATTCATTAACTAACACTAGATTCATTATTTTTTTTTATAAAAAACTTAACTTTTCGACGAGAAAATGTGCACGAGATGTGCACAGCACGACCGTTAACTTTCAACTGATTTCGAAAATCGCAATATCGAATATCGAACATATCGATATCGAAAGCGCTGCTATGTTCAGAGTATTAGTTTTGCCGCCAGTATTTTCTTTGTTTAGTAAACAAAAGAGTAAAATATGTTTAATTTTGTAGATTAGTTAATAAATTATTACGTATTTTTTATTTCAAATAGTGGTATTATACGAGAAAAGTGTTAAATATTTCAAATATAAACATCTTTGCTGGAATAAAAGTGTTATTGATTATTTAAAGTACAACAAAGAAAGAAATACATAACCTATAATTTTTTATTCTTTTTTTTGGCCTTTTGAATTGAAAATGTGTGGACGTTGTGCTTGGTAAGTTTATTGTAATTAATAGTAATTAATTCCTATTTATTCCTATAAATTCCTAAATTTACTTCGAGAAAATTTTATTATTTATATGTAATTTTTAATGAAATTTACACTTTTTGTTTGATTCGGCACATTGTGTCAATCAACTTTAAAACGAAATGTGATTTTTTGCATTGTTATTAGTATTATATTGTTAGTATAACATTAGCAAGTTTCGAATTTTAATTTTTATTTAATTTATGTGTATTTTTTTGTTCGTTTAATTTTATACAAGAAAGAATCAAGATTTTTTTCTTTGCTATAATTATAATTATTTTTTTCGATTTCAGTACATTTGAGCCGGAAACTTTGAGTCGCGCTTGTCAGTATAAAGATTCTTCTGGTAAATATCGACAGGCACCGTGGATTCCGTCAAAAAATGAAGATATTGAATATAAACCTTCCTGTAATAAGGGACCACGAAGTGTTTTACCGATTTTGATGTCAGGTTCTCAAATTAATAATGAAAATGAGAGAATTCTTTGTCCCATGATGTGGGGAATGATACCTCCCTGGACTCAGGTTAATTTTTTCTTTTGTTTCTATTTTATAATTGTTAATTTCTTTTTTGTTTGTTTTAAACATTGTTAATTTCTTTTTTTCTATTTTAAACATTGTTATTTTCTTTTCTTTCTGTTTTAAACGTTGTTAATTGTCAATTTATTTTATTTCTATTTTAAACATTGTTAATTGTTAATTTTTTTTTTTAATTTTGAACAGTTACAATTTAAAAACGGATATAATTAAAAAATTTAGAAAGAAACGAATTTTAAGTTTTCATTATTTTTAGGGCGACTATAAAAAACATAGACTTTCGACACACAATGCTCGTTTGGAGGATTTGGAAAATTCGAAAATGTACATGCCACCTTTGCGTCATGGAAAAAGATGCGTTGCAATTGTCGAAGGATTTTATGAATGGAAAAGAGATGGTATGTCGAAGCAGCCCTATTATATTTATTCCAAACAACAAGATTGTGTTAATTTTGAAGATAAAACAACTTGGACTAATGATTGGTCCGAGGAAACTGGTTGGCAGGGCTTTCAAGTTTTGAAATTGGCAGGAATTTTTAATACATTCAAAACTGAAACAGTAAGTAAAGTTTTAATTTAATTTTCGAAAAATTCAATTCGAATTGATTTTGTTCAACAAAAAATAATTTTGTATATTTACTTTTTAAATTGAAAACAAAAAAATTGAATGTCGATTAAATTTTGCCATTTCAAATTTTATATAATTTCCAATTAATTTTTTTATTATTTCCAACTCAATTTTTTATAATTTCCAACTCAGTTTATTAAAATTTTCCAATTCAATTTTGTATTATTTTGAAAATTAAATTTTCCAGGGCGATATTGTCTACAGTTTTTCAATGTTAACCAGGGAAGCGAATAAAATTTTTTCTTGGCTTCATCACAGAACTCCCTGTTTTCTCAGAACCGAAGAAGAAGTTAAGGTAGGCAAAAAATATTCTAAAAAAAATTATAATCGTTAGGAAGGAAATTTTCATTATCTTTTCATCAATATATTTAACTGACATAAAAAATAAAGAGAGCAAAACAATTTCATTCAAACAATTTCAAAAACATTTCAAAAAGTGGTAATTAAATTTATTTACTTTAATTTACTTAATTATAATGAAATTAGTAGATTTAATTTTCAAGACTAAGAAAATTTTTTTTTTTATTTAAAGTCATGGTTAGATCACAGCGAAACACCGTTAGAGAAGGCATTAAAAAATTTACGATCACTATCATTAGATGAAAATACAATAAATTGGCATCCTGTTTCAACTGCTGTCAACAGTGTATTCTATCAAGAAAATGATTCCACAAAGCCAGTTAATTTAGAAAAAAAGTAAGTATTTTCTATAATTTTATTTCATACATTTTTTTTTAATAAAATCTCATCATGCAGTTCATTGAACTATTGATTTTATAATTTAATTAAAAATATAGAGAGGAGAAGAAACGTCCGTCGGGTATTATGGCTTCTTGGCTAAAAAGTGCATCGACTAAAAGAAAAACTGAGGATTCGGATAATTTTGAAAATCAAGGTAAAAAAACACCCAAGAAAGACTAAAAAAATCAAGACTTAAATCAAAAGCAAAAAAAAAATAATTCTAAATCTATATTTTTTATACTAATTTTGTAATTTTTTTTCTCACCGAAATTTTTAATAAAAATAATAATTATTTTGCTTTTACATTAACAATTAAGTTCTGTTTTGAATTTTCCCGGTTTCATTATTGCGCATGCTTTTTTTTCACTATGGCGGACGAATTTTAAAAATGTTTTTTCTCATTTTTATTCATAAAAATATCAAAATATTACCAGAGGAAAAAAGGTTATTTTTCCAAAGAATGAAATTTTTCTTCACACTAATAAATAATAACACTAAACATTAAGAAAAAAGGCAAAAAAAGTATTACTCCAAAAATGGTAAAATCGACTACAAGTATAGGTTAGTTTTCTGTGATGGCGACGTTGTGATTTGTGATGAAATCGTCGAAATTATTCATTTTTCTCATTCATTCCTCTTAATTTGGACATTAGTGAGAAAATTATCGTTGATTCACATCAAATTTCAACGACAAAAAAGTGCGAAATGGAGAATAATTAATCTCTTGGATCTCTTGTTTTTTATGTCAAAGACTCTCATTATGATTTTGTATTGAAAAATTTGCTGCTCGTGTGTTGGAAAAAGAGCGAGAATTGAAAAAGGAAGAGTCTAGGAGAAGGGAGAGAGAACAAGATCGCCGCGTGCGCGTCTTTACACCCGAGTATATACAGTGCAGTATTCAGGAAGTTGAAATAAAAAAAAAATCATATCATCTGGAAAATTAAGCGAGTCGTGAAAATTATACAAAAATGTCGGATACAGAGAGGCAGGAGAATTTGGAAACCGAGTACCTGGAGATTAACTCCAAGGGGGCTTGGGCAATTATCTATCAGGTGTGTTGAAGTTAAAAATCTTTTTTCCCCGGTCTCCCTTTGCACTTCTTTCCCTGCTGTACGTATATTATATTCACTGCAATTCGTCATCCTGACGTTATCCGGCGTCACAACCTATAAAAGAATATAAGAAAAAGAATACTCACAATGTCGATAATTTTCAATTTTTTTTTCTTGTTTCATTGCCAATTTCCCAGGTTTTGTCCTCGAACCAAATTATTCATTCTTACATTTTCTTTGCCATATTTTCCTTCTATTATATTTATCATATTTTTTAATTCCCGTAAATCTTTTCTCTTTATTGTTTCATAGTTCATTCTTTATTATCTTTCAGTAATTTTTCTCTAATATAAAAAAATATTCTTGTCCTATTTTTTTTTATTTTGGAGTTAAAAATTTATTGAAAAATTCTTTTCTCACGATCTCGTTCCTCCTTTTGTTGAAAATTAGCATTGTATTTTTCGTGTCTAAAGGATTCCCAGACTAATTACTCTGTATGTTAAAAAATTGTAACGAAATGCTTGTGTTTAAATTTGTTGTTTTTTTTCTTTTTTTTGCAACGAGTTATTTTAAAGGAGTATTATATTTCGTTGTCAAGGTCGAATTTCTTTGAGCAGAAGGATAATTCGAAGGTTGTTCTTGCAATTCACTTAAATTATATGGATCTGTTACAACCTGCAATCAGAGAAATTTTTCTGAGGACAATTTTCTTGGTTTTAAAATATTGTTCTACGTACAGTTATTTTTTTTTACTGTTGGAATTTTTTTTTAATTAATGAAATTGTGTTATTGAATTAAATTAATACTATTAATTGATAATTGGTAATTGCTAATTTTAACCACTTCATTTGCGTAACAATTACTGGAATTTATTAAAAATAATTGCTATCTATTATCTATTTGATGATAAATTAGAATAATTACTAATTAGCGCATCTGCTAGCAATTAAGTTGGTTTCTTTATTAACAATTTATTTCATTTCATTATCGAATTAATTAAATTTTTTTTCTTTTATTATATTACTAGCTAAATAATTATTAATATTAATTGTATTATTTTGTAAGAAAGTTTTTAGTTTTTAATATTAAATATAGATTTAGGTTTTGTTTTTTAACACAGATTTTAGTTTTTATTATTAAATATAGATTTAGGTTTTGTTATTAACACAGATTTTAATTTTTACATTAATTTTAATTTACATAAATAAATTTAACAAGAATTTTTGGTTTTCAGCACATGCGTAACGAGTGCACAAATTTTGAATACACCTGTAATGAATCAAAAAAGCCACAAAACAGAAATTTGAATCGATATAGAGATGTTGCACCATATGATCACACAAGAATTGAACTCAAACGAGGATCATGCGATTATATCAACGCAAATCTTATCGAAGTAAGTTAATAAAAATACTTTCGTAATAGTCAATTTTCCTTTTTTATTATTTTGGTAATCTATTTCTTTGAATATTTTTTTAAATAATGGATTTTCTTTAATAATTTTAATTGAAAATTTTGAAAGTAATTGGATTTTATTCGAAGAAGAATTTTATTAAAATTGTATTTGAAAATAATTGAATTCCTGAGAAGAATTTTACTATTTATAAAAATAATTGAATTCTTGCGAAGAAATTTACTATTTATAAAAATAATTGAATTGTTTCGAAGGATTTATTAGGATTTTAGAAAATAATTGAATTTATTAGAAATATATTTTTAAAAAAATTTTAAATTGAAATAAAAGAGTTTTATTATTCATAAAAATAATTGAATTGTTTCGAAGGATTTATTTACTATTTTTTAAAAGATTTGTAATTAATTTAAAATCAGTTAAAATCATTTATACTTGATTTAAAATCATTGAATCGAAAATAAGTTTCAATTTGTAAATTTAGAGAGATTTTTGATTAATAGCTAATTAGTAATTTTGTATATAAAAGTTTAGATAATTAATTAGAAAATTACAGTGTTTTTAATTTTGGAAATAATTTCAGGTCGAACGAGCCAACAGGCTTTACATCCTAACACAAGGACCACTTCCAAATACAGCCGGACATTTTTGGCTGATGATATGGGAACAAGAGAGTAAAGGAATAATAATGTTAAACAAAGTCATCGAGAAGAATCACGTCAAGTGTCATCAATATTGGCCAATGGGCGGTACTTCTGATGAAGAAATGACATTTGCGGATGTTAATTTAAAAGTAGAATTCATCAGTAAAACTAATTTAATGAATTACACAACCACCAAGTTAAAGTGAGTTTTTTCTATTTTTTTCTTCTTTTCTAGCATTTTTCTTTTCTTTACGAAACGAATAGTAAGCCATAAGTAACGATTGTTATGTTTTTTATATTTTTGAATCTTTTCTATTTTTTTAGAATTTTTAGAAGTTTTTTCCATTTTTTTTTTATTATTGACGATTGTTAATTTTTTCCATTTTTTTTATTATTGACGATTGTTAATTTTTTATATTTGCGAATTTTTTTCTATTTTTAAATAAAAATGAGAAATAGCAGGGAAAAATTTAAGGAATAAGGATTTACTAAATTTTTTCTTTGAGAGAATTACAATTAAAAAGGGAAAAAAGTTGTTTAATTATGGAAATATTCTCCAGATTAACGGACTTGGAATCGAGTAAAAGCAGAGAAATTCTGCATCTTCATTACACAACGTGGCCAGATTTTGGCGTTCCACAGAGTCCAACGGCATTCCTTCGATTTTTAGTCGACGTCAGACAACATGGAGTTTTAGATCAAAATGTGGGACCACCGATTGTTCACTGTTCAGCGGGAATTGGAAGATCGGGAACATTTTGCCTTGTGGACAGTTGTCTCGTTCTCGTGAGTAGAAAAAAAATTTCTAAACTTTCTAAACTTTAAAAATTCTATAAAATAATAATTGAATTGAAATGATGAAAAGATTTATAATAATAAACTGTTGTCAATAATAATGCAAAAAATGAACTTGAATATTCATCTAGATCGAAGAAAATGGAATAAATTCAGTGAATGTACGAGAAATTTTAATGGAAATGAGGAGGAGTCGAATGGGCCTAATTCAAACGCCGGATCAACTTCGATTTTCCTACGCAGCCATTATTGAAGGATCGAAACAATTGCCTCTTAATAATGTGGTAACTAATACCAATTCACAGTAGTACACTGCTATTAGCTTTATTTCTCCTTTACCAAAAAACAAAATGGAAATTACGATTTTTAAAGAAACCCTTTTTTCTAAATAACTATTCCTTAATAACATTATCGAGAAACGAAAGAAAATAACGTTCTTAATTCATATTTTACTCACACCTCCTTCTGGAAGAATCTAACGAATTAAGATTTATTAATTAACCAATTAGCTATTTATTACTCACCTATTAATTAAGTAATAATGAATTAACTATCTTTCAATCTCATCAATTTCGATAAATCTTTAAAAAGAGTATTTAATAAAACATGAAAAAGACAAAAAAGGGAAAATCGAATATCTAAAGAGAAATTGAATTATTTTGCAAAGATTAAAAGTAAAGAATGATACAAATTTAGTCTATAAAAAAGAATCAATTTCTAATTATTTTAATGAAATGTTCTTTATTTATTGATTAAAATGTTTGAATTAATTTTATTTTTAAATTTCGACTTTTATTTTTGTAATGAAAGTTTTCTAAATGAATTTATTTAATTACTGTCATTGGTAACTGGTGAATTAAAATTCTCATGTCATAAATTCTAATAGCATTGTTCTGCTGTGCTATTTAAAATTATTAACGTGTTTTCTTTTTTTTTTGCATTTTTTTCTAAGTGTGTTTGTGTTTTTACAGAATGTCGATAACGAAATAGTGACTAACCATTATGATGTGGTAAATAATGTTAGTAACTCATCAATAGAGGAGGATGATGAACCACCTCCTCTTCCACCTCCTCGAGGAGAGTCACTAGGTCGTGGTAATAATGCCGAAGTGACGCCTACATCGACTACTGAAAATGGTGCGCGCATCCTTTTTGTTTGCATTTCAATTTTTTCAATGCGCTGTTTGAAAAAATATTTATTTTCAAAATGCTTCTCTCAAAAAACTGAAAAATTATCATTTAAGTGTTTAATATGGTTTTTTTTTATTTTCTGTCAACAGGAGATATAAACGGTCCTCCAAATAAGCCATTGCCAAGTGAACCGCCTTCACATTTGGATTTAATTTCCAATTCGCCACAAACAAATTCTAACTACTTATCTAACAATGTACAAGAAAATAATGAAGATGTTGCTCAATCCGGCGAAAGTGGAGGCGAAAATTCCTGTCAAGCTAGCCCTCCGTCTAGTCCAGATTCGTGAGTTTTTCGATTCTTTTTTTTCATTTTCCTTTCCTCTTATACATAGATTTACAGGAACATTATTTTTTTTATTTGAGATGGAAAGAATTTAAATATCTACATCATAATCATAAAATTCTTCTATAAATCTATTATTTTTAATAATTAATTAAATACATATTAAAAAATCTGTGGCAACCCTGTCATAATAAATATATAAAATTTTGGAAAATGATTAAACAAACAGAAAAAAATTCCGAATTTTTTCCTGTGATTTGTTCATATTTTCATAATTTTATATACTCGTTTGTTTTTAATTTTTCGTAAGAATTAAAAATTCAAATTTTAACTTTTTAATCTAAAGAAAAAATCTATGAAATTTTGGAAAATTCATAAAAAAGTCATTTTCGTCTTCATTTTATCTTTTGTCTTTCAGGAAAAGCAATTTGCGTCAACGTCATCTCGAGAAGAAAGAAAGACTCGCGGCTCAGGTACGAGAGATGAAACGCCGACAGAAGGAGACGGAAGATTGGCAGAAACTCAAGAGGTCATTATTTTCGCCCCTTTCACTAAGCATAGGAGCCGCGTTTGTTGGTGGGAGTGTTTTGGCAATTTATGCGTATTTTTACATGCGCGGCTAAAACTCGAAAAAAAATATATATATATACAAATATATATACATATTTTTTTTTAATTAATTCAGCGTGGGCAGTAACGCTTACATTTATTAGTGAGACAGTCTTTAACTATATACATACAATCGTCAAATATTCTCAATTTTTTTTTCACGAGACATTTTTTCATTTTTTCCACAATGGAAAAATTGATATGAATCTGATTATTAATAATAACAACGAGAAATTCTGGTTCGATATTTTAAAATGAATTTTAATTCCATTTTTTGGAAAAAACTTCTCTCGAAAAAAAGGAAATCCGAAGAAATTTTAAGAATAGTGAAATATGCATTTGTATTTTTATATATATTGCAAAACTTGAAATTTATCCAATTTATCCATCAGATACAAAAGAAGTATCTGAGTCTTATAATTCTTTTTTATTTACAAATCACACGGGGTTTTTTTTAATAGTTGAATATATTTGAAGAAAAAAAAGAAACCCAATCGCGTTATCGATTTTCTGTGGATTATCATTTCTCTACAGAATTTCATATATTTTCTTACATTCTACATCGTTTATGTTGAAAACAAATAATGATAAAACTAAAAAAAAATGTTAGAAAATTTTTTCACGAATGATGAATTTCTTTTATTTCCTAGTATTTTTTTAATAATTTAGAATTTCATTAATTTCATTCGTGTATGAATTAGTGAGTTTAATTTATAAATTTACTTACAAATATAATTACGTGAAAGTTTAGATTACATTTTTTTTTAAATACTGATCTCGAAGAAATGTAGAGTTTCAGATTTTTTTTTGATACAACAATGAGAAAAATAATTTTTAAAAAGAAGATGTTTCTCTTTTGGTAAAATAATTTTTTTTATTGAATATCACTCTCTACACTCTTTCAAGGCTATTTTATTGATAGTTTATTTTTTTCTGTAAACGAATTATTCCGTAAACAATATTTTCGTGTTTGAAATCGCGATTGAATTGTTATTAATTATGACGGAATTAAAAATTGTCGATTACGAGATGTCCTGCTCGGATAGTTGAGCGTTCGGAAAGACTGAGTACGATTAATAATATCTCAAGTCAAAAAAAAAAGAAAAGAAGAAAGGAAGTAAAATTAATTAATGATCAATTTTAAAAAATACGTATAATCGTAATTTTTGAGTAAAATTATACCACAGATAATAGATAGGCTCAGTTAGTAGTCTTCTCGTAGGGGACAATTATTTTTTATTCCTAATGATTCCTTCGTTACAATATTTAAAATAATTCTCTTTTTGTGAAAATGTCATTTATTGGAATTGTTGACAAACATTTATTTTTCATGAATAAAAAAAATTAATTAACAAAAATTGTCTCTCTTCATTGAAAAAAATTAATTTTCAAAAATCCTTTTCAAAATTCTTGATTATCAATTTATTCCTATCTATCGTCTGTGGTGATAGGAAAAAGATTATTTTTTCATTGTCTGACTCTGATCATTAATTGTATTGATATAAAAGAGAGAGCAAGACTGCTGGAAGTCTTAATTAAAAAGTCTCTATTAAAAAAAAAACGGTGCTAATGAAAAAAAAAGTTCCACACAAATCTTGCACGTGATAGTTTTAAAAAAAAAATGTGTGAGAGAATGAAAGAGAGCGATTGCAGTCTTCTTTTGAAAAAAAAGAAATCAATTTTGTAATGAATTGACAAAATCTCGAAACGGAAGATCATGTGTCGTGTCAGTTACAAAATAGGAAAAGAGAATTTACAGTGATTAAAAACAGAAACATAGCCAAGTGCCTCCTCGTGTTTACATGAAATTAATAATATGATTGATTGGAACTAAAAGTAAAAAAAACAAATCGTGAGATATTTAAATCGCGAGTGCACCTTTTTGAAATAATCCAAAACACCCCACCACTACTCTTTTTCTTAGGCATGAGAGCAAGATCCTAAACACATTTTTATATTATTATAATAATCGACAATATCGAGTAAATATTTTATAATTATAATTATAGATAGATTTCGAGATTTTTTCTCTTTTTGATTGTCAAGCGCAATTTTTTGTGATTGATGATGTAAGATTTTTTACAAGTGCCAATATGACAATGTACCTTTTAAATAAAATTTCCTTTGAGGGAAAGAATTATGTAGACTTACATCATCAGAAATATTTTCTCTTTGCTTTAATATTTTTCGTTCATTATTCGCAATGTTTAATTTAAGTTGAATTTTATTCTTAATTTTTTTCTATTTTCTTTTTAGTTCTTTTTAGATTTTATTCTCATTTTAAATACTGACATCAATTTTATTTCACTACTACATTCTATTTACTTCATTTTTAATATTTTTTTATTATTTATTTTAGTGTTTTTTATTATTTTTAATTATTTTTTATTATTCTTTATTACTTATTTTAATATTTTACAATTTTTATTTCTTTGCAATTTTTTTTTTGGGCTTGACAGTCAAAAATGGTAGTGAAGAATAAATAGGGAAAAAGCAATTAATCTAGTGAATGAAACAGTGTAAAAGGCAAGAAAAAAAAGTATTTTAGAGGACGATTATATAAAAATAGTGAAAAAATCGAAATTCTCCATAAATAGTTCTTGAAAATTAATTTCTATTGTTTTTGTACCAATAAAAATTTGCAAATAGAAAATAAAATACGCAATATATGGAAAATATTTTCACTGTAAGAAAAAAAATTCGAAAAAAGAGTGATAAGATTTTTTCGCTCATCACAACATTATCGGAAAAAGAAAATAGTTTTGCATTTAAGAAAAAAAGTATTCGTAATAGTCGCAAAAAAATTTCGAAATAGGAAAAAAATTGTAAACTATTTTTACAGGAAAATATTTATAAACTCTATTATTTAAACAAATTTTCTCACTCGAAATTTACAATTTTTACAATTACAATTTTATAACTTTAAAAATGCAATAATAACACAAAATAATTATATTAACATTTTGTTGTGTGTTGTGAGTGAATAACCAGAAAAGGGAAGATTGGTAAAAATAATTTTTCTTTCTGAAAAGAAATATTTTTTTTTTGTTGTAATTTTCTCTTTTCTTCTTTTCTTTTATTTTACAAATGAAAAATTCAAATTTTTTTTGTACTAGAAGTCATCAATCTTCCCTTTTAGGGAATCGAGAAAACCTCATCTATAAATGATTTCTTTCAGATCGAAAAACGATAACGGCGAACAAAACGAGAAGCTGAACGAAGAAGAAGAATCTTCATCTTAATTCACATGAAAATTAAATACCAACATATCCACATTGATTTTTCTTCATTTTCCACCGCAATAAATATGGGTGCCGACAAATTTTTTATTGAATAGGAAAAAGGAGGAGAAAAAATTGAGAAAAAAATTTCTCATTTATAATCTTAGAAAATAAGAATGAATTTTAATACGATTTGGAAATTTTTTATATCTTTGCAAAAAAATCAATCCATTTGTACTTCTTTTTTTTTCTTTTTTTATGTATAAAATTTTTTTTGAATTTTGAAAATATTTATTTTCAAGTAAACGAATTTTTTTCCACTGTTTGTAAAATTGTAACAAATTTTTAATTTTTTTTTTTTTTTGAATTTTTGCAGCAAATTTGAATTAAAATTTTTATTTCAATAAATTCAGTAAAAAAGTATTGATTTATTTTGTTAATATTTATTTGTGGTGTGTCGAATCATTAATATGTCATTAAAAAATTAATTATTACTAAAAATGAAAAATATAATTTTCATTCTCTTGTTTTATAAGTTTTGGTAAATTATTGGGAAAAAAGTAGACTGAATCAAAATATCAAGTATAATATTTAAAATGAAAGTAATTAATTAAGCAAATGGAAAATGTTTAGAGGAAATTTTACTTAGAAATAGAATTGAATTTGTTGTAGTGAAAGAAAATTATGTTAATTTCAAATGTAGACGAAAAATTTATAAAAATAATAAAAAATTATTATTCACAAAAAAGAACTAGAAAATTATCTACATTTTTCTCTCTAATAAATGAATAAGACAGCAATTCAACTTTTGTTTTTGAAAAATATAAAAAAATTACCTCTGAATTTTTTTTTAGTCTTTTCGTATTAATTTTTAGTAAATGTAAATTCTATTTGTACTTAAAAATTAAAATTTTTCATTTATTTAAAATTGTAAATTTCAAATTTGTTTAAAATTAAAAATTTCTTATTTTATTTTATTTTAATTGATTCAAAATTAATACTAAAGACAATTATCTTAAACTATAGTGTAATTAAAATAAAGAAGGTAATTAGAACACAATAATTATGAATAGAACATTTTTTTCTTTATTTATTGTCATTACTAACAAAATTGATTCATAATTTGTAAAAAAAACAAAAAAAAATTTCTACAGGCACTCCGATGTATAAACAATTTTTTTTTCAATCTAAAAGTCTATCTCAACCTATACAATATTTTTTTTTGTTAAGAATTAGCTTCGGATGGGAATGCTATTAATTAATAATAATTATTTACACTAAATACATTCACATCTTATAAAACTCCATTATAACTATAATTGAAAGAAGAAAAAGCAAAAATAAAAAGAAATAAAAATTCAGTCTACGAAAATTATAATATAAAACATAACTAGAATTTTTAACAGAATAAATGAAATTATGAATTTTAAAATTTCAAATTTTTCAGAATTTCAAGAATTTAAAAAATTTTTTAATCTTAAAAGTATTTTAAAAAACAAAAAGTAGTAAAAATTTTTTAAATTTATAGATACAAAAAGAAAATCTAAGTTCTATTTACAATTTAAAAATTATGATCGCTGTTATTAAAAATTACTTGACAAAATATATTACATTCTTCGTCTTACAATAATAATGCTTGAAATTTAAAAAAAATTTCTCAATATTTCAATATATAGTCTATATTTTTTTTTTTAATTGCAAAAAGTATTGCAAGACGATTTCGACTAGTTTACACTCTTTCTGTTATCGACACTGTGGATAAACAGAACGCGAAATAATCTTAATTATTGCAAATGTCCCTCGCATCAGGGCGTTTAATATAAATTCGCGATTCGCGACTTTTACACCTTGATTAATTAATTAATATTCTAAAAAGGACTAGTTATTGAAAAAAGAAAACTACACTCACAGCTGCCAATTGAGGGCGAAACATTCTCATATGTCTCATTACAAAAAAAAATATTTACAAATATTAAATTTTCAAAAATAGATTCAATTTTTTTTCTCCAACAAAAATAGGATATTTAATATTTTAAGTTAATGAAATTAATTAATTAATTAATTTTTTTTATTATTATTAATAAATATTATTAATAAATAAATAAATTTATTACTGTTAATTAATTAATTTTATGAAATCCTATGTTTGAGAAAAAAAATATCATTCATCAGCTGTAAATATTAGACACTTTGGAATCTCGAACAATTCGTACAATTTAAACTTATTTTTTAATGAGGATTAGAAGTAAAATATTTCCTAAAGAAAAGACACGTCTTGAAGGCACATATTATTCACGTAACTATCAGCTAAATGGTCCCTATTGAGGAAGATATGCTTAAAATAAATATTGTCTGTGATTGAAACAATATTTTTTCGTAAATTAAAATTATCGAGAATAGAAATTAAAATAAAAAGTACAATTTGAATTCTACAATTTCAAATAATAATCTTTGGACTTGTAATTGTAGAAAATAGAAAGTAATTAGAAAATTAACATCCTCGGATTATTTAAACGTCTTTTTTAAAATCTTGTTTCTATGATCACAAATTAAAATCTCACTGGTCGGAAAAAATAACTAGAAAGACAAATCTAATTATAAAATATTGACGAGATGTTGAGAACAAAATTTAGTTCAATTTGATTTAACGAAATTTAATTAAATGTAAAAATAAGTTTTATGTTAAGTTTATAAGTTTTTACAATCAAGTTTTATGTTTAAGAATTAAAAGTTCGCTTGGTAAAAAAAATTGATAGCAAAAAAAAGAGCAATTTCGGAAAATAGATCTAAAAGAAAAAAAATTGTTGAAGGTTTTTCAATATTTTTTATTGAAAAGTTTTCTTCAATTTTTTTTCCTTTTCTTGTTTTCATCTTTGACAGAAATAAATTTGCATTTTGTAGAAATAAAAAAAGAATTTAAAAAATCACGCAATGGCAAGATTCAAAGTCATTGGCCTCGAGAATGCGGAATTACGATCGGAATAATCAAAATTTGCACTCTTCTTACTCAAATGTTCCGGATTCGGCGATATGACCGACGTTCGAATAACCATTCTCGATAAATATTCACTTTTATCAATTTCACAATTATTATCCAAAGTGTTAGAAATTTTCTCCCGACAGAAACGCTTTGGCGATATTGATCTCGATGTTTCGGAATTAAATTGTACTTTTGGGGTTTTAATAATAGTTGAGAATGCAGACGATTGATTTCTTTGTTCGCTGATTAATCCTTGAAGACGTGGAACAATAACGCTCGTCGGCGATGCTGTGACGACACAATTTTGTGTTAGAATTTTATTCACTGTCGTTGAATTATTCGTCAATGGTGAATTTGTTATTGTCGTGAGGGCTGTTGTTGTCGTTGGGTTCAAATTAATTTGCGACTCGTCATTATTTTGCTTTTCAGACGATGAACGATTGTGTGAGCGCATACACGATGATTCCTCGTGTTTATAGAGATATGATTTTAATGCAAAAGCCTTTCCGCAACGTGAGCACACATGCGGTTTTGTATTCGAGTGCGTTTGAATGTGCGCACGAAGATTTGATTTATCAGCGAATGCCTTATTGCAAATTGTACACTTGAATGGTTTTTCACCTGCAAAAGAAAATTGGTTTTCGTTAATTTCTATTTTCTCTTAAATTTAAAATTAGTTTTGAAAATTAATTGTGTTGAATTATTCCAAAAAATTAATTTAACTCAAAATTAAATTTCTAGTATAAAAATTCTAATAAAAATCAATTCTGCAAAAATATATTAATCTATACAATTTTAATTGATTTCTTTGAAAATTTCAATTATTTTTAACAATCTTGTAATAATTCTCTGAGAAATATTAAATTATTTTAAAAAATAATTGAATTTTTTACAGGACTTCAATTATTTAAAAAACTTTTAATAAAATCCAATTCAAGAATTCAATTATTTATAAAAATAATGAATTTCTCTCTAGAATTTAATTATTTTAAATACAATTTTAATTGAATTCCAGGAAAAATTAAATTATTTTAAAACTTTTTTTTTACATTCTTCGAAAGAATCCAATAATATAAATAAATAGTAAATTTTTAGCAGGAATTCAATTATTTTAAATACAATTTTAATAAAATACTTCTCAAAAATTCACATATTTTTTAAAATTTTGCAAAAATTCATTTATTTGTTTTATTATTATTAATTTACAAAAGAATAAGAATTCCAATTGAAACGAATTCGAATTATTCGACATTTTTTCACATTAAAATTAAAAAATATTAAATTTTTCTTACCAGTGTGAGTGCGAATGTGTCCCTGCAATAACCACGGTCTCGAGAAGCATTTCCCACAAAAATGACACTTGCATCCCTGATTATGAGTTCTTACGTGCATACTGAAAGCAGGAATACTAACGTAAATTTTATCACAATGAGGACATCGTCTCGCCTTCTTATCGCCCAATGATCGATGCGTTTGTCTGTGCCTCGCGAGATTTGATGATGTCGAATATTTTTTTCCGCAATCAGAGCATTCGTGATCTTCATTCTCATCACATTTTGCAATGTCCGACAACGACGATGATGACGACGAGGACGACGATGTGGTTGTTGTTGTTGTTATTACACGTCGTGATGAATTCGTTTCGGCAAAATTAACGGAATTCGTTGCCTGAAATTTTTCCGTAAAATTATCATTCTCACGATAAATTGGAAAATGGGTTGTCTTCTCCTTAAGTCGTACATCAAGAAGATTGTTGGACGAATTTTTCTCTTGTAAAATTTCTCGTTCGCTTTCAATTCTCTCGAAGAAGAGTCTCGTTCTCTCGCGCAAATTCGCCTCTTTTTCTTCTTCATCCTCTTCTTCTTCTCTGCTTCGTGGCGCCTGGAAAATTAAAATTTAGATTTTTCTCCTTGGAAAACAATTTATGTTTTGTTAAATAAATATTATTTTATTATTATTATTAAATAAATTATTGAATCATTATTCGAAAGAATGGAGAGAAGAGAAAAAATATTACCATCGATTGAATATGTGTGGCGGTTGATAATTTTGGTGAATGACATTTTTCAATGACTTGAGTGCATCGCGACGTCAAAGTTGGCTGATAGAGAATTCTATTTGGATGAATTAATGTTCCTGCAGCGGCTGCTAAACTGACTTCGGCTAATTTCGTTAAATTGTAAAGCTCCTCAGGACATTCTGATGATGTTTCACTGCCACATTCGCTGGCGCCATCCGAATTTGTTTGATGACCACCACCTCTCTCGTATTTCGTTACTCCAATATCGGAATTATAATCTGCGAATAATTAAAAACAAAAAAAAAAATAAGTGGAAAAGCATTACGTGACTGATTTAGAGAATATGGCATTCACAAAAAAAGCTATCACACACGAGACTATACGAAAGTGAAGGTTTTCTGGCGTTCATCCAGCAAAAGATTATTCTTCAAGTCTCAAGTTTAAATCGCAAATCTCAATGCTTTGACAGGTCGAAAAAAAATTATTGTTATTATTATTTAAATTTAAACAAGGAGAAATTAATTTTAATTAAAAAAATTTTAATTACAATTAATACAATAATATTACTAAATAATAATAAAATATTTTTATTTCCTTTTCTTGTCATATTTAAATCAAAATAATAATAATAATAATAATAATAATAATTTATTAGTCTGATATTATTATTTTCATAGAATAATAAAATTCAGTTCTTTTGCAAGAAAATAAGGAATGGAAGGTGAAAAAGAGGAAAGGACATTTGATGTCTGTTCCGTTTTTGGGAAGAACAGAAATAGAGCGGTAGTTAGATTTACTGAATTTTCGTCATGGGGAGGGGTTGACGGCATCACGACGGCATCTCGTGACGCATCTGTCTATTCTTATATATAACACGTCCGCTAGATTTTTTTTATTCCTTTTTTTCTATTTGCATTTTCCGACAAAGGAGAAAAAAAATAATAATCAAAAGCATGAGCACTTGGCTCGACATTCTTTTTTTCAATCAACAACCACCTTTTTTTTGTTTTTAAAGGTCAAGAAACCCAAAAATCATTATTGACTATTATTATAAATAATTATTTTACTATTCTTTTAATAATATTGTATAAAATTCGTTTTTTTAAATTACAATCATTAAATTTTTAATATAAATTAATTTTTCTTTTTCTACATTAAAAAAAATTCAATTTTTTATTTACTGGGATCTCAAACAGAATAATTTATTTTCTATTTGTAGAAATAGTTTTAAAAAATCAAAAAAATGATTAAAAGTTCGTTTTTCTGTCTTATTACAAAAAAATAGTTTAGTTAAAAAATAAAAAAATAATAAAAAAACTAGAAAAAAATAAAAATAAAATTTTTTAAATATTTTTCGTGTTTTTAAATTTTTATTTTTTTTATTTTATTTTTAAATTAGACATAATTTATCCAATTATTCTAAATTTATTTTTTCCTATTATTTTAGTTTAAATATTTATAGAATTTTACTATTTAGAAACAGAAAGTAAATTTTTCTCATTTCAAGGGATCTGAAGCGCAAAGTTGAAGATAATGTGAGAACCACCTGTTGCCGAATTTGTTTTCACAAGCAGACAGCAAACAAGTTTCCACATATAAATTAAACATTTATTATTATTATTATTATTATTATTATTATTATTATTATTATTATTATTATTATTATTATTATTATTATTATTATTATTATTATTATTAACATTATAATAATTATTTGTACTATTGTTATTATCATTATTGTTATTAATATTAATAAACTTTAATACCTATTTTTAATATAATAATAAATAATAGAATAGAATAAATTATTATTAAAATTAATATAAAAGAAGTGAATAATTTAATATTTTAATTAACATTCATATTTTTTTCTATAATTTGATTCTAAGGAGAGTAATTGCAATAAATTGAAAGCAAACTTATTTTTATTATTTAAATAATTTATGAACAAATTAAAATTGTTTATGAGTGCTTGAATTCAAAAAAACCTTGGGATTTGTTTCAAATTTTCCAAAAGAGAAATATTAAAGTAAAAATTAAAGAACAATTAAAATTTTAATATTGAAACAATTCTTAAATAATACAATTAAAAATACAAGTAAATAAAATTAAAAATAATATAATTCAATAATATTAAGGAATAGAATTAAATTTAACTCAAATTTATTTAAATTAATTTAATTAGATTAAAATTCTCATTTTTAAGTTAAAATTTACAGAAGTGTATTTACACTTGTATGTAAAAAGATAATAAAAATAAATAGAATAAAAAATTAATATTAATTAATAAAATAAAATGAAATAAAATACAATAGAATAAAAAAAAATACAATAAAATAAATGCAAATAACATACAATAAAATAGCAAAAAAATAAATGAATATAAATAAAAAATTTCGGGTAATTGCAAATTCACCAGATCAAATTAATTTTCCCGTAAGAAAAAAATTACCTTGTCGTGATTCCTCAAGTTCTTCAATGCCATTGTAACGGCGATGAGTGATAAGAAAAGCTCTCGGCATTTTCTCTTTCAGCAAAAAAAACTGCGATTTAATTTTCTTTTTCAAACAAAAATTGTTCAAAAATTGTATGTCACATTAGAATTTTTTTTTTGTTTACTTTTTTTCTTGTCACCACTGCGGAAAAATTTCACAATGCGATCACCACTTGTGAAAAAAAATGTTATTTTTTTTCTTCCGTTAAAACTATTCACAAAATGTAGAATTTCTTTTTCTGCCTTGAAATCACGTGCGTTTGATGAAGAATTTAAAAGGACTTTTTAAAATGAAGTTTCGAAGGAGAGAAGTGAGAGATTGAGAGAGAGAGAGAGACCCTCTTTGAAGGAGGGTACATGCGTCTTCTGCAAGTTTCGGGACGTATTAAGTTGGTCTGGCTAAGTTTCAGTGCTACATATAGAAGCGAATCCTCCCTCATCCTCTCCCACCCTTTTTTGCTCTCTTCAGCTGCTGCTCAGAGTGTGCTGAGATGTGGTACTTTTTTTTTTCTTCTTCTTCTTTTTTTTTAATATGTATTTGTATATATAAGCATGCGTGAACCTCCACACGAGGTAGAAAACACCACCGCAAAGAACAGATTGAAACGATTCGAATGAGCAGTGGGGTGGCCTGAAATTAAAAAAAATTATTATTAATATGAATTATTGATTAGAAACTATTATTTTATTCTTGTATTTATTTGTTATTTTTTAACTTAATCTCAAAAATAAATTTTCTGAATATAGAAGAGGAAATTTTCGTCTCAATGGTCTGAATTATATTAAATAGAAAAATATGAAAATTTATTGAGAAAATAATATAATAAATATTGTCACGAGAATCAAGACTTATTGTCATCAACAGACTTGACCGTACTTTTATTTCCCTTTGTAAAATGTGATCGTGCGCCAACAGGAAAAGAACTTGCCAAAAAACCCACTTTTGTCTGTTTTAGTTTCATCATTGTTTTTCTATACATTTAAATAGAAGGAAAAATTTATTATTTTCTATTGCAAAAAAAAGCAAAATAATTTTAATAAAAAATTCTTTTTTTTATTCTTATTGACGAAAAAAATCGAATAGTCAATTTTCGCATTTGTTAATATACAAAAAATAACTGAAAAATCAGACTTTTTATCGAGACTGTAAATTTAATGATTCCTTTTTGTCAAATGGAAAATAATTAGAAATTGAAACCTTTTCGATTATGTAACGAGTGAAGAGAAAAATTTCCTCTCGCGTGAATAAATTGAAAAATTCATTCCTTATTTATAAGAATTTAGCAGTAGCTGAAAAAATACACAGTATTGGAGATAAATAAAGAAGAAGAGGAAACGAAACAAGGACAGGGAGTTTCCAAGTTCTGCTTCTTTTAGTTCATCATTCGTGTTTGTTTTAAGTACATTCTCCAAACTAGAAATTCGAAAAGTAGAGCAATTTTAATTTCTTTTCAGTATTTAAATTTTATCTCAGAAAAATGGGATTTTTTCCCCTCCAGAGAAATGGGAGAAAAATGGAAAACAAATAAAATTTGATTAAATAAGTGTCTCGATTATTTTTCAAGTTCGGATAAAAATCTGATGAGTATTTCAATTATTTTTCAAGTCGGGATAAAAATCTAATGAATATTTAAATTATTTTTCAAAGTTGGGATAAAAATCTACTAAATATTTGAATTGTTTTTCATTGTAGAAAATATGAAATAGGCTAATTTTCTCTACAGCAACTTTGTGAGAATTTGAATGGCAAACACCTGTAGAGTGGAGAAAAATGATTTCGAAATTGAAAGCTATATAAAATCCGAGAGGAGAAGAAATTTTGAGGCTCGTTGATTTTTCTTAGCTATTGAATGAATGCTTCGCGAATTAGTCAGCCGTCGCGATGCTAAATTCAGACGCTTTGGCACTGGGCCAGAGAACCACCGCACACCAACCTGCTTCTTCTTCTTCTTCTTCTTCGTCTTTTCACTAACAAAAACCGACGCCATTATCTATTATACATATATGATATATATATACCTTTTCTCATTTTCCTTCTGTATTTTCTTTTCCACAAATCTCATTTCAGACTATAAGCATACACTAAATCCTCGCGACATTTGTCGACTTCTCCAGAGATTATGTTCTCTTCTGCAGACAGTAAAATTCCGTGACCTCTCCTAAAGGCTTCTTCTTCTTCTTCTTCTTCTTTTTCTTCTTCTCCTTTGTCGAAGTCCATCGTCCCTCGCTTTTCCTGCGAAAACAAAATAGAATAAATAAAAATGAATAAATAAACAAAAAATAAATCAAGTTTTCTTAATGCTTTTTCTCTTTTCGGAGTAAAAAAAAATTGTTACACATAAGGCGAGATAACATTTTTTTCCTTAACAAAACAAAAATTCTTTTTTCGAAGTAAAAAAAAATTGTAACACACAAGGTGAAATAAAATTTGTTTCCTTAAGTGAAACTCGAATTTCGAAAATAAAACTTCCGAAATAAGACAATTTTTTTTTTTTTAATGAAAAGAATAAATGAAAATTTTTCAGTATATTAATTGTGAATTCCCTCTCTAAACTCTTCTAATTATTTTCGAATATTTAAATATTTGAATAATAAAAAGGAATATTGAACAAAGCAGCAGACAAGTGAAAAAAGTGAATCATTGAATTTGAAGAGAGAGCAAACTAGAAAACAGGTGTCCCATGGCATCGTATACAGCAGAATCGACGTCGCATCCAAAAATAAAATAACTAACGTCGTGTATATGACGCAAATATATATTATATGTATAACAAACTCGCCGAACGACGCCCACTTTTCTCTCGAAAAATTTCGAAATCATCTTCCGTCAAAAAAGATTCCTCAAATAATTTATCAACAGATTGAAAACTATTTCCATAAAAATTTTTATCTCGCCTTATGTGTAACAAAAAAAAGGGGGAAAAAGGGAAATTTTAAGTGGTTTCACCTTATAACCCTCCTCGTATTAAATATCTCTCTCGTCAAGTGCGAAGAAAAATAAAAAAAAAAAACATTTTTTCGACGACGAGAATCAAGGGGACGTTGCCCTAGAGTCGATCTAAAATAATCTTTCAATTTCATGTTATATTGAAGTCAGAAAAACATTGAAAAGTGGTTGGAGGAGCGTGTGCCTAAGAAACGTATATAATTCTACCCACACATTTTTTTTTATTTGTTAAAAAAAGGGATAAAAGCACAGGCTCGCTATTTAAAATTTGAAAGCGCAAATGAAGGAGGGAATTTAGTAGGGGTCGAGGGAAGTCGTGTTTGGCCTCGGCATGGGGTTGCTGAGCTATTTTCAGTCAGTGCTTTAATGCAGCTGTCGCTACCAGTGAAAAACCACCTCCCGGTTCGCAGCTTCCACGGTCATCTCCGAGGTAGAGGCAGAGTCAACAGAGTCTAGGTATAGAAAAATTCCTAGTTTCACGAGTACGACGACCTCGTGTACAATATTTCATATACACTCCATGAGTCTTCTTCTTATTTTCAAATTCTTATTTTCAAAGTCGTCGGATATTTTTTTCTATTTTTTCTCCTTCTTCATTCCACGACTCGTCGTCTTCAATTTTTATCTAAAATAGGAATTTCAATTTTTATCTAAAATAGAAATTTCAATTTTTATCTAAAATAGGAATTTCAATTTACATCTAAAATAGGAATAAACAAAAGTTATCGTGATAAATTATTTATCCAAACACAACTTCCCTTTAGCTTCTTAATTAATACTCAAATGATAATTAAAAAATTTTCTGATATTTTCAAAGCGAAAAGAAAAAAAATTTCAAAAAGAAAATGAAAGCAATGTGAAATAAAATAAATGAAACGAAACCAAAAAACTAAAATTAAATTAAAGAATATAAATAATTATTCAAACGTAATTATATTAATAATAATAATAAAGAATAGTAATAATAATAATAAATGAATCATACCTGATAATAATTACAGAATATCAAATGCATTTCAAAAATCCGCGATCCATTAATAGAAGAAGCAGCATTAGTGAAAATTCATTTCCGTGAAATATTTCCAAAATATCGTGCGTGTTTCTTATGGAGATGAAGAATTGAAAATTTGCATGACGAGTTACTTTGAAATGACAGGAGCAGAAAAATGCGTGTGTAGGTGGTCCACAAGTATATAAAAGAAAATTCGTTTTTTTTTCTGGCCAAATGCCAAACGAGAATTTCAGACTCTTGAGTTTCTTCGTTTGAATCGACTTCAAACTTTTCACATCCGGTAGAACGAACTCATGATTTTTGTCGCTTTATTTCCCTTTGTCTTTGATCTCCGCGCAATTATGAATTTTTATACAGAGAATTCGCTGCACTGTTTCCTTATTTTTCATGAATTTTTTCCCAATCTGAAAAAATTAATTAAAATCATTTAATTGATAGTAAAAATAAAAAAGAATGTTAATTTCTAAATAGAAAAAAGGGAACGAACAACTTGGAATAAATTAAAATAATTTAAAAGTAAAAAGAATAAAAAAAATAATTTAAAAGTAAAAAGAATAACAAAAATAATTTAAAATAATTATGGTAATAATTAAATAAATAAATAAATTAATATTATTGAAATTGCAATAAATTCGAATGAAAATGCGAAAAAAGGAAGCAAAAAATATAGAAATTCACGATTCGAAATTCTCCCTCGTGCGTAAATGATTGATCGCTGGCAGCAACCATCTAATCGACGGAAAGTAAAGTACTTCCTTAAGAAAAAAAAAACAAACAAAAAAGTGGAAGCATTTCTTCAAAGTATTTTTTTTTCGTATTTGTTTAAAGTCTCGGCGACACGCTTTCGTGAGTGGTTTTTTAATTGAGGAAACCTTAAAAAACGAAAACGAAAAGTAAGCAAGTAAAAAAGAGAAAATTAAGAAAATTTATATAAAAAAGCAGAAAATACAAAAATCGAACGAGAAAGAAGATAAAAACATTATTTATTATAATAAATGCGTCGCTCTTCCAAAAAAAAAAAAACGTCGAGTTAATAAAAAATTAAAATTAAAAAACAGTGACTTAATAAAAAACAAAATTTTAAATTAATAGCGTTTCCTCTCAGAATTAATAAAAAATTTCATTTTTTATTAATTCTGAGAGGAAACGCAAGTTCCTCCAAAAAATGCGAAGTGAAAAGAGAGAAACAGAAAAAAGAGGGAGACAGAGGATTTGAAGATTTTTTTTCCAAGCACAAATCAAAGAGTGTGTTAGCTGATGATTTACAATGTACAGGAACAAGGTTTTAGGATCAGGAGGAAGCTGCGACAGTTCCTTCCGTTTTAAATCCCCTTTTATTTTGCACCCACTTGCCCTCACAGTTCCATTTACCAATGAGCAAAAAAATAAAGTCGGCCCACCCTGTTTCAAAAAAAAAAAAAAAAAAAAAACCGGCGAATTAATAAAAGATAAAAAAAAATTTATGCCCAAAGAAACCACCAACTCCCGTCATTCATCTTCCTGAAAATGAATAGAGAGAATTTTATACAATTCTTCGTCTTTTTGTAACTTAATTTTTCAACCATTTTTTGCCAATTTCAGAGAAAATCTCCTCATTTTCAAATTATTGGAAACAAAATTCCCTCTGAATTAAAAAAAAATGAACTAAAATTCAAAAAAAAAGAAAGAAGAAACGTGAAAAGAAAAATGAAAAAATATGAATGAAAAAAGTTAATTAAAACTGAAATTTCAAAAAGAAATATGAAAGAAAATAAAGATTGCGAAATAAAATTAAAATTGATTAAAAATACAAAAAGGAAAAAATTTAAAAAACTTACCAAGAATTTTTCTTCCATTTTTCACCTTCAGATTACAGTATACGTTGAATATACAAATGGATTTTTCCCCCAATAAATAGAGCATTTTTGAATATGGAAGGATTGAAGAGTGCGGTGGTGGATGATTGATTCAGAATAATTTTTGTATTCGCAGGTGGTGGAATGACGGCGATGAAATTTACAAAAGCAGAAGAACGATCAGCTGGCTGGGCATTCGTTGCTTATAAACGCACATGAGGAGAAAGATAAAAACGTGATTCCCCTTGTAGGCGTACTCCGCAATCCGCATCTCAAACCCCTCCGAAAAAAAGAAAAAAGTCCGCCTTCATTCAGGAAAATAATGCAAGTCACCGGTCGAAATTCATTCATTTCAAAAAATCTATCGTCACAAAAATATGGATCCATTCACGAAAAAAAAGCAGCTCTCCATAGCAAATTTCTTCATCTGCAAATTTTTTTTTTTTACAAAGTATTAATTCAGAAAAAAGTTTTACACTGTAATTAATTTATTTAATTAACTTCAAATTTTCGTTATAATTTTTCTATATTTCAATTATTTTTGTATATTTTCAATTTTTTTGTATTTTCAATTTAATAATTAATTTCTAAGGATTTTTCACTCATTAATTTTTGCATTAACTTCAAACCGTTTCGTCTAATTTTTTTTTAATTAACTTTAATTTTTAATTCTGAGATTTTTTGAACTCATTAATTGATTAATTGGCTGTATTCCTTCGGCCGAAGATTTTTTTTGTTGATAAAAAGAAGAAATAAAAGTAGAAAAAGAAAATTGAATGAAAAATATTATTCCTCCGAAATTATTTTGCGAAAAAGTGAATAGAAAGAAATAAAAAAAAGAATTAAATCCTATAAATAAAATAGAATTGAGTGAAAAATTATCGCTTAGAAATTATTTTGCAAAAAAGTGAATTGAAAGGAAATTAAAAAAGTAAATATAAATAAAATTGAATTGAGTGAAAAATTATTCCTTGGAAATTATTTTGCGAAAAAGTGAATAGAAAGAAATAAAAAAAAAATTGAATATAAAATTGAATTGAGTGAAAAATTATCGCTTGGAAATTATTTTTGGCGAAAAAGTGGATTTTTACCTTTTTTTTTGAATTTGCAATTGAGACAATGGTAAAAAAATTTGCCATTAATTTGTATTAAGGGCAAATTTGTTCCTCCATTATTGAAAGGGGAAAATTTGAATGGCATTACACGCAGATAAAGGTGGAAATAGAATGTGTGGGTGAAGGGAAGTGGCGATGAACCATGACTTGAGAGAATATATGTACATAAGGATGTGAGAAAGAGAGGAAAAGAAAAAAAGGGGAGGATAAAAGAAGGGCGCGTGGCGGACGCGTGCCGATTCTCAAACTTGGTGTCTGCTTGTCTCCTTCCCTTCAATATCTTTCCTCGAACCAAACTTCCTTCCTATCATCTCTTCACTCTTTGAAAACTCCTCCTTCGTCTGGTTGTTGTACATATTTATCATCATCGGTCCACTTATTGAAACATTATTTTGAATTTCGAGCACGAAAACCTGAAAAAATTTTCCATTACTAGTTTATTTAATATTTTTAATTCATTTCTGCTTTTTTATTAAATATTTTTCTGTTTTGAATTAATTTTCTGTTTTTAATTCAGTTTTTCTGTTTTCAACTCAGTTTTTCTTTTTTTACTTCAATTATTTTTTTTGATTCAGTTACTTTTTTTTTATTCAATTATTCTTCTTTTAATTCAGTTATTCTTTTCGTTCGTTTTTTTAATCCAGTAACTCTAAATTTTAAATAAATTGCATTAGTTATTCTAAAAATGCTTAATTCACCAAAAGTTATTTTTTCTTTTACAATACTCATCGTTTTGATTATTATTTGAATACTTTGTATTTTTATTTTCCAATTAAAAAGAATTTTAGAAGTTTAAATTTTGAATTTTAAATGAAGCTAATTTTTTAAGCAAACTGAATTTATCTGTTTATTTAAATATACAGTGAAAAATAATTTGAAGAATGATAAATTTTTTCTGGTGTTAAAGAGTTGATTTTGAAATTGAAAAAGGATTTAAAATGCGGTAACTAGAGAAGCAATCGGAAAGGAAATCGGGCAGTGCTCTAAATTTAACTTTTAAACGAAAACAAACAGGGCCGCGCATATTCTTCATTAACATTTTTATGGTTACCACATTTTTAATGTAAAAATTCAACTCACATTCTCGTCAATCATTCTTTCGCAAAATTCCCTTTTCTCTCTTATTTTTTTTTTATTTTCTTCAATTTCTTGAAATCGCAATACGTGAATGCTAAAATAACCGCGAATGCAATAAACCTTTTTTTAACTCCCTTCTCAAGAACGAACTTCCTTACAAACTTTTTACCCTTTCAATTTTAAAACTAGTTTTTTTTAAAACAAATTTCTACTTAAAAAAAATTTCTTTAATAAAAAATTTCTTTAATTTATTTCACAAAAAAGGTATTTTTTTCCAGATTCAATTTTTAAACTTTGAAACTATCGAAATAAAAATTTAGAGCTTACGTACTTCTGAAGAGACACCCCCGGACGATCATCGATTCCGTCCCGTGAGGGGAAGTCAGAATCCCCCTCCACCACTAGGAAAGGATTCACGCCCGTATCCCGAGCCGAACTCAGGACTGGCAGTGCGATCGAGTTGTCGCATAAAACTGCCTACAACTTTCATTCGGATAAAGAAGAAAGCTATATTTTTAAGTACCTCAAACAACAATCCATTCCAAAAGCTATACACGGAGAGAAAAAACAAGGCTTTTCCCTGTGACTTCAATTCATGCCTTTTTCAGGTAGCAGTTTCACCGGATTTCCCGATGAATTTCTTGCGTTTAGCGGTTAAGGCCATGCCTTAGCCCCTATTGGCCTTAGCTCGTTGCAAGAATCTCACCGGGAAAACCTGTGAGGCGTCCTGCATTTTTACTGTGATAATTTTCACGCGTTAAATGCATATTTTTTCATGGGGAAAAGCCTTGTTTTTTTTCTCCGTGTAGGAATCTCCGTCCTTATATACTAACTGATGGAATTTTTCACCGCTTGTGAGAAACATTTTTTCTTGAAAAAAAAAAAATATTTATGTCAGAAATAATTTTTTTCAACTTTCTAAAAAATAAAACACGAGAAAAAATTAGTCGGTCAATTTTTTTTAATAATTAATTAATTAAATAACAAATAATTGTTGTTAATTATTAACTCTTAACACAGAGCAGTTGGAAACTTGCAGTTTTTTTTCTAACTTTACAACTAATAAATCTTTAAAGTACAAAATGAAGATAATTTATGATTTTAATAATTTATCAATTGTTTAAACAAATAATTGTTGTTAATTACTAACTCTTGACAAAAAAAATTATTTTGAATAATAATTGTGCTATCCCGATGCTATCTTCGCTCCGAAACTCAAACTTAAGCCCCTGACCGCATGGTGGGAGAAGGTTGTTTCCCCTCACGGGACGCAATCGATGACTGCCCACACCCACACGTTCAACATAAGACCATCTCAATGCTTTTGTAGATTTGTTATTCACATCTAATGGATTCTAAATTTAGAGCTCGATAGCTTCGATTGGAAATTTCGAACTTGCTCATTATTCTGTAACAGAAAAAAATATTTCAATAAACAAGAAATTTTTTTTAAACAAAATCGTAGAATCTTTTTTTCTCTTTCAAAAAAAAAAAAGGGTATTTAATGTCGAATTTCGAATAGAACGTTTCGAATATTTATAATTAATTTAATATTTCTATATATGTTTATGAAATAAAATGACAAATTGAAATTATTTAATTCGATGACTGCCAATTGAGATAGAAATAGATCCGGACACCCTTTTTGAAATAAGCAACCTGCCAAAGACAAAGTGAAACCTGCACAAATTACATCATGAACGATATTAACGGATCAATCGATCAAGATGCTCTCAATTGTTAGCCGCATACCAATCGCTCACTAAACTTGTTTGTTATGAGGACATTCAAGATGACTTTTCTCATTCTTCTCCTTTACAATAAGGACTAAAAAAGAAATTTTCTTTTAAAATTTCGGAACTTTTGTTCTTTTCTGAACTTTCCGAATTCTTTCGGATATGAATTGAAATATACGATGTTAAATATTACGAATTAAATATTAAATTCCATAGAGAAAAATAATAAAGAAAATATAATTCCAAACAATGTAGAAAACAATACAAAAATAAATAAAAAAAAAGCCGAAAGCTTATTGAAAGCTTCCTCCTCGAGGAAAATAATTTAAAAATCTTTTCGATGCGGGGGAAAAAGACATTGCGTGAAATGAAGTGAATGAACGGTGAATTGCAAATTTTAAGGTGTTTTAGACAGGAAACTAAGGAGGAAATCTAATTATAGAAGTCGTTGTGCGGTTCCGCGCGAACTAACAGGAGGGTGAGTGCGGGTGCAGGGAATATACTCTCTCTCTCTCTCTTTCTCTATAAGAATTTGGTTGCATTGGGCGGCTCATAAAATGCAGAGGCTGCATCCGGCAGTGGCGCAGATGTGCTGACCCTAGTATATAGTAGGGCCTCTCCTTATAGATTTGTGAGGAGCCGAAAAAGTAGAGGACTAACAACACTCTTCTCCTAAGATCCGATAGACAGATCTCGGGACGATGAACTTGAAGAGAAGAAGAAGAAGAAGAAGAAAAAACTATTCTCGCACACATTCACCCCCCGCGAGACAATATAAAACGCCGACAAAAGCCTGAAAAAAAAGAAATTTTCACAAGTTTTATTTTAAAAAATTTATATTCAATTTTTATTTTTTTTTCTCATAAATAATAATATTTTTTAAATCAATTCAATTATTTCATTACAATTGTTTTAAAAAATTATTATTTTTAAAATATTTAGTAAAATTCCTTCAAATAATTCAACTATTTTAAAAAATTCAGATAAAATCCTTCGAAACAATTCAATTTTTTTTACGAATTGTAAAATTATTGACAAGAATTTAATTAATTTCATAAATAAGAAAATTCTTCACAAGAATTAAAATATTTTCATAAATAATAAAATTCTATAAAGGAATTAAATTATTTTCAATACAATTTATGGAAATTTGTTTTTCATTTGCAAATATTTATAAATGAAGAATTTTTTTTTTATTTACGTTTAAATGGGAAAA